GCCTTGATCTTTTGGGGGGATTTTGGGGGGTTTAGGTTTTAGGGTTTAGGGTTTGGGGTTTGGGGTTTGGGGTTTGGGGTTTAGGGTTTAGTTTGACTAGGATGCCCAGTAGTACCCTTTTTCCCTTTTTGGGGGGTTTAGGTTCCCTTATAAACCCCTTTAGGCAAAAAAAGGGCACCCTTTTTAAGCCTAGGCTACTGGGCAGCCGAGTTGATCTCTTGGGGGGGGATTTTGGGGTTTTTAGGGTTTAGGGTTTGGGGTTTAGGGTTTAGGGTTTGGGGTTTAGGGTTTGGGGTTTAGGGTTTGTTTTTCTGCAAGGAATGTTTAAGTTTTTTGGGTCAAGGCATTGGGGCTGTAGGGTGTTAGGCATCTGGCTGGATTTTCAGGTTTAGGGCCCTTAGGGTGCAGGGTTTGTTTTTAGGGTTCTGCAGGGTTTCGTGGTTTAGGGTCTTGGGCTTTGTGGCTGCCAATTTCTGGTCCAGGGCCAGGTCCACACATTTCAGGGTACATGATCATGGACGTGAGACGCCCTAAAACCTAAACCCTAAACCCTAAACCCTCTAAACCCTAAACCCTAAACCCAGGCCTCAAGACCTCAAGCACAATAAAGCCCAGGTCCCTCTGGCGGAGGGAACACGCGGCACTCGCTCCAGACCCGGTTCGTGCCTCTCTCTAGCGAGGTATAGGCCCTTGGGACCCCTAAACCCTAAACCCGAAACCCTAAACCCTAAGCCCTAAACCCTATTCTCCCTTCTTTTGTTGAAAAGGGTCATATGGGGGTTTCCGGAAATAGGGGTACCCTTTTTGGGGTTCCTTTTCAAAGGGGGATCCTATTCTATTTGGGGTGTAAAAGGGGTACCCCTATTGTGGGAAAAACCCATATCTAGGAACATTTGTTCAGAGGGTTTTAAGAGCTAGGATTAGGGTTTGGGATGTTCCCCCTTTTCGTAACAGTCCTTCTTAGGGATTATAGTACCCCCTAAACCCTAAACCCTAAACTCCTTATAGTAACAGCCCTTAGTAGGGATTACAGTACCCCCTAAACCCTAAACCCTAAACCCCTTATAGTAACAGCCCTTCATAGGGATTATAGTACCCCCGATTGATTAAGGAGCTGTTTGGTTGCCTCTTGTGTAGCTCCTGTGGGGTTTTGGGTTTTGGAGGTTTTTTGGCTCTCTGGTGCTTCGGTGAAGTTGGGGTCTTAGAAGGTTTTCTAGGTTCCAGGGTCGAGCTCTAAACCAAAACCCATAATCCGAGCCCCTGATCCCTAAGCCCTAATCCGTTACGGCCCCGGGGGGGATGGTCTAGTTGAGCTTGAGCATCTTAGGTTCCAAAAAGCTCTTGACCTCATGTGCGTATGGGTTCAGGGACTATAGGGTTCAAAATAAGTTATATGTAAATATATATGTATGTATGTATGTATGTTCATATATATATATAGATAGATGTATCATATCATATAAAGAACACATACATACTGTATATGTATATATATATACATATACATATATACATATACATATATACATATATATGTATACATATATATATATATACATATACACATGCATTCATGTTTTTTCGGTGTGGTTTAGGGTTTAAGGGTTAGGGTTCTTGGGTTTGGGGCTTGAGCTGCAGGATCTGGCGGGTCTGTCATTTAAAGTGTGGTGTCCTCGGTGGCCGTATGTGCACCGGACTCCAAGCATGTTGTCCTCGTGTTCCCAAATGGTCCATGTACCTCATGATTTGCCTCATTGTTTATATACTCGGCGCCAAAGTCCGTATATAGCAGGTACTTTAAGGCTCAAGTATTCCCTAGTTAGGTACATGGACCCTGAGGGGTTGAAGCGTGCGGAACGAAAGCAGATGAGCTACGGGCACAAGTCATAAATTTTTGCTTGGGTGTCACATCGCACTTGGCAAGCTACCCCGCCTCCTACCCCAACCAAAAAAAGAATAAGCACTTCTTCGCGAAACAGTGTAACACAAACAGCATCAGAATGCTACCGTCAGAGCGTAATCTGAGATCTGTCTCAATATGATGAACATATGTGCATTTTGGTATACTTATATGCTGTTCATTGATCAGTGCATATGTGTCTATAGACGTACACATATAGACACATCATACAAACCTCTGCTTGGGTGCAGGATCATACATACAGCGAGCGCCTACCGAAGCTGCCCACTTCCCCCCCCCTGCCTCCCCCTAAACCCTAAACCCCAAACCCTAAACCCTAAACCCTAAGCCCTAAGCCCTAAACCCTAAACCCTAAACCAAACTTCCGGTCCACAACAAGTTCCGTGGCAGTCTGGAGCCCATACTACAGGGAACCATAATCCCTAAACCATAAGCCCTAAACCCTAAGCCCTAAGCCCGAACACTCCTGACTTTCGAGCACCTGCACTTGCCTTCTTGCGCCGCTTCAAGTTGGCCAGGTTTCACATGAGCATGATTTTTCGCAGTATCGCGCTGCCATGACAGGTTAGTTTTGTCCTGCTTGGGATTCCCATGGGGCCCGCAAGAGGCTCATAGCCTCTGATTTTAGGTTTTAGGGTTTAGGGTTAGGTGTTACTGGGTTTTGGAGTACTATACTTTATAATACTTGTTGTTGGTTCTGGATTCCTATTATGTCTACTTATACCCAAAAAGTATATACTTGTTTTCCAGGGTCTGCTCTATAGCAGGGGTCATAAACCCTAGATCCACAACTGCAGTATGCGATAACTGCTGTCTGCATCGGCTCTCATGACCTAGGATGCCCAGTAGTACCCTTATTCCCTGTTTTGGGGGGGTTTAGGTTCCCTTATAAAACCCCTTTAAGCAAAAAAGGGGCACCCTTTTTGAGCCTAAGTTACTGTGCAGCCTCGTGACTGTATCTTAAGGCGTCCTGCCCAGATGGCACTTTACCAAATCCCTCAACTCCACAGGCCAGAATTCAGGGAGGTCCTTCAGAAGGGCTCCTCTACAATACCGGGCCTCTGGCTTGTGGATGCTTTCAGGTGCTCTAAAAATTAAATTGTTTCGGTGCGGCGTAGGTCTTAGTCGGTTTAGGGTTTAGGGTTTAGGGTATACGGCCGAAGGCTGAGTGTTGCATTTGAGTGCAGGTCCGGGGCAGATTCCGAAGAATGCAAGACATGTCTTTCTAGAAGGGAAGTTCTCCTCTTATAGGGGTTACATAGGGGGGATGAGTAACCCTAAACCCTAAACCCTAAACCCTAAACCCTAAACCCTAAACCCTAAACCTCTCGCAGACGCAGCGCGATCTCCACTCGCAACTTTCTTGCCTCATTCTCGCCGAAAGGCAAGCAGTGAGGCGGCGCACCCCTTCCCCCTTGGCGATAGGATTCTCGGTTAGATTGCAATCCAAAGGAAGTTGCATGGTCCCTTACTAGTACCTTCTATCAAGGGTTCGGAATATTGGCCCTTGAGGTTTGTAGGGTATAGGTTTAGGGTTTAGGGTTTAGGGTTTAGGGTTTAGAGTTTAGGGTTTAGGGTTTAGGGTTTAGGGTTTAGGGTTTAGGGTTTAGGGTTTAGGGTTTAGGGTAGGGGTTCTTCCAAGCAAGGACCCAGAATCAGGGACCATGTAGCTACCCGAAGATGCGATGGGGATCCTCGCATTGCAAAAGCATCTTGGAGTCTCTGATTTAGGGTTTAGGGTTTAGGGTTTAAGGTTTAGGGTTTAGGGTAACTGCCCAAGGAAAGCTCCGTGAGGGCTGTGGTGTTAGCGTGCTTGGCAACTGCTTACCACTCCATGTCCAGTGAGGGGACAGCCCTAAGCCCTGTGAATCCTTGTACTGTAGGGGTTACCATTATGAACCCTTCAAGACAAGACAGGGGAGCAGCAGCTTTCAACGATCTCCCGGTGTTGCTGTCCTGATCGCAACACCCCAAACCTGAAACCTTAAATCCCTGACTTGAAATAGGCATAAAGTTTTCAACAGAACCCCCTTCATCCCTAGATGACAAAAGCAACCCACCCAACATTCCATTCTAAATCACTTGGACCCTATATGGGGGTATCTTATTGGGGTCCTTATTTTCAGGGAATCCTATTCGTTGGGGTCTTTATTAGGGTCCCTTATTTTCGTAAACCCCCCCCATAACATGCCGCAGCATATTCCTCAAAAGGGCACGAAGGCGTCTGAGCTTTTGGTGGTGTGCGCGCGGCTTGGATCTTGTCCAGGGTGGAGGGATTTTGGGGTTATGGGGTTGTTAAGGAAGGGGGGGTTCATGGGGGGCAGGTACCTAGAGAGCCTCAGGGAAGCTTAGGGAGCCTTCGGGAGTAGTGGGGATTACTAGGGAACCTTGGGTTGCGGGGTTTGAACCCCCCCTCTCTTGTAAGAACTCCCAGTGGTTTAAGGTTTGAGAGTTAGGGGGTCTAGGCGGTTTGTTTAGGGTGGTTTAGGGTGGTTTTGGGTTTAGGGCGTTAGGGTTTCAGGGTTTTAGGGTTTTAGGGTTTTTAGGGTTTAGGGTTTAGGGTTTTTGGGTTTAGGCCCAGGCTTTAGGACTTGCGGGAATGGCACAGGATGAGCCCTCAAGATCGGAGGCCCAAGCTAGTAAGAGGCTATGGCGAGCGCATGTTGTTGACCCCTGTTTAGGGTCAAGGGTTTAGGGTTTCCCTGCACCCTAAACCCTAAACCCTAAACCCTAAACCCTAAACCCTAAACCCTAAACCAACTCCCAAGCCCGAAGCCTGTTCGAGGTTCGGGGAAGAGCCCTGCAGCCTTCGTGTCTCCACCTTCAAACCGGGCTTCCAAGCCCAAATCCACAAAAAAACCTATACTTCAGCACACATGCACATGCCTAAAGTCACAACGCAATAGATGGTGTGGTGTTCATGTTCTTTAGATCCTGAACCTTGAACCCTAAACCCTAAACCCTAAACCCTAAATCCTAAACCCTAAACCCTAAACCCTAAACCCTAAACCCTAAATCCTAAATCCTAAATCCTAAATCCTAAATCCTAAACTAAAGCCACCCCGCAGCTCAGGTTAAGATGACCGGCACCAACGGAACCAGCAAGGACCGCAGCCGATCTCCGCGCAAGGAGCTGAAGGCGGCGGCTTAGGGCTTCGGGGTTCGAGGATTTCCTAAGGGGTTTTTGGAATTTTAGGGTTTAGGATTTAGGGTTTAGGGTTTAGGGTTTAGAGTAGTTTACAAGGCGGGCCCCCCCTGGTACTCTACTATCTGTAGTTTCGGGACTCATAGCCTAGTGTCAAGAGCCTTATAGCCCAATTTATGGTCCTCGCAACTCTACTTACCTCTACGGGGGGGGGGGGGGGGGGGCTCGGGCTCCTTCCCCTAAACCCTAAACCCGAAACCCGAAACCCTAACCTTCTGTAAAGAGTTCTGACGTTGGTCTGCTAGGGAGGGGTCCAACTGAAGGGCCCGTAGGGTTTAGGGTTTTATTGGGTTGAGGGTTTAGGGTTTAGGGTTTAGGGTTTAGGGTTTAGGGTTTAGGGTTTCGGTTTAGGGCTTTCGGGTTTATGCTTCAGAAAGGTGTGTAAGGCTTAGGGATCTTGAGCGAGTAAGCTTGAGGGCTCTTCGGGTCGATTTATAAGTGCTTCAAGGCCGATACTAGGATGCCCAGTAGTACCCTTATTCCCTTTTTGGGGGGTTTAGGTTCCCTTAGAAACCCCTTAAAGCAAAAAAGGGCACCCTTTTTCGGCCTAGGTTACTGGGCAGCCTATAAGGCTTTGGGGTTTTGAGCTTTTGTGGCTCAGGGTCTGAGGGCGCCAGGCTTGCTGGAGTCGTAGCCGGTTCTTCCCCAATTCTAGAAACCAGGGTCGGCCATGACTCCCAATTCTTTCGGGTTCCCTTGTCAGCCCCTCTTCGCGTTCAGGGTTTAGGGTTTAGGGTTTAGGGTTCAGGGTTCAGGGTTCAGGGTTCAGGGTTCAGGGTTCAGGGTTCAGGGTTCAGGGTTCAGGGTTCAGGAGTTATGGGTTGGGGGTTTCGGGGCACGGTTTCGGTTGCCTGCTGCATGGTTGTTGTTTCCTGTTGGGTCCTTCTGCTGTTGCACGGTTAACCCTAAACCCTAAACCCTAAACCCTAAACCCTAAACGGACCATTGAGTTTAGGGTTTAGGGAGCTGTCAAGTTGCACAGGTCGCATCCAAGCTCACAGACGCAGACCTTTGCGATGGGCTGCCAGATCAAAAGCCTCCGAAGCAGGGTTTAGGGTTTAGGGTTTAGGGAGTTTAGGGTTTAGGGAGTTTAGGGTTTAGGGTTTAGGGTTTAGGGTTTAGGGAGTTTAGGGTTTAGGGGTTAGGGGTTAGGGGTTATGGGTAAGGTTCTTGGGCCTATACCCGAATCCCAAAACCCACCCTCACAACCCAAAGACTAAGTTCCGGCCGGCAAGCTCAGCCAACAAGAAAAGAGCCCTGTAGTGGCCTTGCCGTTTAGGAACCAGGGTTTGACGTTTGGGGGTATTAGGATGGCTTTCGAATCTCTTGGAGCAAAGCTCACTGGGACTGTGTTCGGCCCTGGTGCCCTTGTGTAATGCGTTCGGTCATAAACCCAGCCCTAAACCCTAAACCTTAAACCCTAAACCCTAAACCCTAAACCCTAAACCCTAAACCCTAAACCCTAAACCCTAAACCCTAAACCCTAAACCCTAAACCCTAAACCCTAACGAGCCGGGGGCTCATATGGATCAAAGGTTCTCCGCTGCAGAGATCTTCGGGTCGAAGACGGCGATGAGCCACTGGGAAGATGTCCTAACTCTTGGGGAAGCCCAGAGTTTACAGCTAGGATGCACAGTAGTACCCTTATTCCCTTTTTGGGGGGGGTTTAGGTTCCCTTATAAACCCCTTCGAGCAAAGAAGGGCACCCTTTTTCAGCCTAGGTTACTGGGCAGCCTAGACAGGGAGGTTTAGGGTTTAAAGGGTTTAGGGTTTAGGGTGTAGGGTCATTTAGGGTTTAGGCTTGATTGGGTCATGGGTCCTACTACACCTACGGCTTGTGTCCCTTAACTACACTCAGTATAGGCGTTTAGGGTACCCTTTTCCCCTTTTTCTGGCTCAAGGTTCCCTTATAAAGTAACCAACCCCCAAAAAGGGTGCCCTTATCATCAGATGGTTGCTGGGCTACCAAGAAGCGGTCCTAAACCGCCCCTATTCTCAGTGCTTCTTGGGATTTAGGGCTTCGGTGTTTAGGGACTTAACCCCTGCTTGTAGTTTTTTTGGCGTTAGGCTTTCGGGGGAGTCGGCATGACCAAGTGTAGGATTCAGGGTCTCTCTCTCTCTCTCTTTTCTCTCTCTCTCTCTCTCTCGCTCTCTCTCTCTCTCTCTCGCTCTCTCTCTCTCGCTCTGGCTCTCTCTCTCTCTCTCGCTCTCTCTCTCTGCTCTTCTGTATCTTTCTCTTGCTCTTACTCTTTCTCTTTTTTTTTGCTCTTTCTCTCTCTCTCTCTCTCTCTCTGACTGTCTCTCTCAATAGAATGAATGCCGACTGTCTCTCTCAATAGAATGAATGCCTTACCCATGATTCTCGCACATACCTTCATTTCGAGGTTCGCGGCCGTGACCTCGAACCCAAATCTTAAAACCGAAACCAAAGCACCCGAACCTGAAGCCGAACGTTAAAGCAAACCTAAACCCTCAACCCTAAATAGCCCTAAACCCTAAACCCTAAACCCTAAACCCCAAACCCTAAACCCTAAACCCTAAACCCTAAACCCTAACCCCGAGGCGGCTACACTTACGACGACCTCATCTGCCTGCCTGGTCACATCAACTTCGGGGTGCACGACGTGGCGCTGGGCACGAAGTTCTCCAAGAAGCGCCTCTGCTGCAGTTGCAGCTTAGGGTTTTAGGGTTTAGGGTTTAGGGTTTAGGGTTTAGGGTTTAGGGTTTAGGGTTTAGGGTAGTCTTTGAGTTTTAGAGCCCCATTAACCCTCTAAGCTCTCTGAGGCCTGCAAACCCTGCAACCTCCTGTGAACCCTCCGAACCCTCATAAACCCTAAACCCTGAACCCTCAACCCAAAACCCTATACACCCTAACAGCTTTAGACCCCAAACTGCGTGGGCTTTGGGTGGCTTGGCGGTCTCGCGTGCTCATCAGGAATAGGGGTTTCAGGGATTTAGTGATTTTCAGGGTGTTTCAGGGTTTGAGTGTATTGGGGTTGAAAGTTTAGGGTTTAGGGTTGATATTATTGGGCTTTAGGGTTTAGGAATCAGAGTTTGGCGATCTGTGTTGTGATTCGGGTTCGGTCCTGGCAGCGAACTCTGCACCTCCATCCCTGCAGCGTTCCTGGAAGCTTTCTCAAGTCGCACGCATTTTGAGCCAGAAAAGACCCAAACCCCAAAACCCTAAACCCCAAACCGACCCTAGACATAAGCAAAGAACCGCACGAATGGGGGAGCCCTAAGCCCCAGAGTCCCACCTCTTGCCACGCTGTCAAGAGCCTAGGCTTAGGGTTCAGGGTTGAGGGTTTCGGGTTCAGGGCCACCCCCTTAACTTTGTGGTGCTTTACTGTGACTTTAGATCCTTAGCCTTTTTGGGTTTATTGGGTTTCTTGGAAAGGCAGCAACAAATTATATTTATCGCTACCGTGCTAAGTGCCCACAAGTTAAGAACCCTAAATCACATTCCCATCATCTCAGGATCACTCTCAAGACGCCCATCGTCTCCAGCCCCATGGACACCGTCACGGAGTCGAACATGGCCATCGCCATGGCCTTGGCTCCTTGGCGTTCCAGGGCTTAGGGTTCAGGGTTTATGGTGTTTAGGACAGTTTCAGGTGAGTAGTTCATCCTTTTTTTCCGGGATCTTAGAAGAGTCTTACATGAACCCTATACTGTTGATAAGAGGCTTGCTAGACAGCAACTTGTAGGTGTCCTTTATCGCATTCTGCCCCCACACCCTTACAACCCACTATACAAAATGAGGTCTCAAGAACCCTCGATGGAGTCTTATTTGCTGTGGGGCCTTCTTGTACGGACTTGTACGGTTTGGGGGGGAGTTAGCACAGGATTCCAAAGTGTACGGCTTCAGGATTTTGAGTTTAAGGTTCGGGTTTAGAGTTTTCATCCCAATGTCCCTAAACCCTAACCCCTCAACCCTAAACCCACCTTCGGGATTGATTAAGGAGAAGTTTCATGTACAGCTCCCGTGTTCAGATCTCCCACACCTTACTTGTCTAACCCTTAACCCTAAACCCAAAACCCTAAACCCTAAACCCTAAGCCCAGAGCCTGAGCCCTTGTCAGCCCTCGAGGCCCTAGCGGTTTAGGGTTTAGGGTTTAGGGTTTAGGGTTTAGGGTTTAGGTTTATACAAGCCCAAGCAGAGGAGGGTGGCATTGGTGTCATCCACACCAACCTGCCTGTCGAGACTCAGGCCGGGATCTCAAGCCATGAAGCAGATAGGGTTTAGGGTTTGGGGTTTAGGGTTTAGGGTTTAGGGCTTTAGGGTTCAGGGGTTGAGGCTTTAGGTCGCTAGGCTCCGTGCAAGCTTCTTCCCTGCTTAGCAGGGAGCCCAGTTTCATTCCCAGATTGCGAGCGATTTCAGGTGTTTCCATAAACCCTAATGTCTAGCCTCTTTTGCTCAGGATCCATTCTCTGACCTAGTTCGCCCAAAAGGGTGCCCTCTTGTTGTCATGGGGTTACTGGGGAACCTAGAAGGAGCCCATGGTGAATATGTAGAAGTGTGAGAGCCCTAACTGGGATACAACTATGATAACGTAGGTCATAAGACCTCTAGCTTTGGGATGTTCCCCCTAAACCTATCCGTCCTTAAGTGGGATAAGAGTTACCCCCCGCCCCCTATTAGAATCCCCATTCAGGACTGTTAGTATAAGGGGGAACATCCGCAACCTCTAGCCTGTGAACTTAAAGCTCTAAGCGCGCACACCCCCCTTTGGCCAAAACGGCTACCATTCCCTGAGGGCCCATGTACCTAAACAGGGAACACTTGGGTCTTAACGTGCTTCCTATATACGGACTTTGGGCCTCAGGTATGCGAGAACGAGGATTATAGACCATTCGGGATCTTTAAATCCTAAACCCTAAACCCTAAACCCTAAGCCCTAAACCCTAAACCCTAAAACCTAAACCCTAAACCCTAAACCCTAAACCCTAAACTATCGAAGCACTCTATGGGTCCTGCGCGACAGAGGCCGCCGAGGTGGCGAGGGTGAAGAAGTTCAAGGCGTGGAAGTGCGATTGAAGGTGTTAAGCTTGGTACCAGTAGGCCGCTTTTAGGGTATGGGGTTTAGGGTTTAGGGTTTAGGGTTTAGGGTTTGGGTGTAGGGTTTAGGGTTTAGGGTTTAGGGTTTAGGGTTCAGGGGTACCCTTTTTCTTTTTTTGTGTTCAAGGTTCCCTTATAAAGCAACCAACCCCACAAGAGTATGGTTACTGGCAACTGGGCTACCAAGTAAGGTTTTTTTGGGGAAGTTAGAACAGGGGCCTTGCGTATTGCGGTTCCTACGTTGGGCCTAATCTTAAGCACCAAGGCCTACACTTCAGACGGGCTTCTTGCTGACCGACAAAGCTGTGGGACATCAATCAGAATAAGGACCCAAGACGACCATTATTGAGCTCAACCTCCATCTTTTGATATGAGTACCCTCAACCCTAAAGCATAAAGCCTAAACCTTACGGGGGATATCAAGGTACCTAGGGCCCCTGTTCTGAGTGAGAGTGACCACTGTGCTGCTTTAGCTTACTTCGCCTTTAGGTGAACTTTAAACTTTTTGGGTTTGCTCATTTAGTAGAAATATTAAAGTTTGACCTTTTTTCCCCTTGGTTATTGGACAAGTAAGTTAGGAGGGTTCTGTGAGCCGTGGGGTGGAACCCCAAACTCCCTGTTTGGGGGGGTTTAGGGTCTGGGCGGTAGGGTGCCGCTTGTACTCCTTAAGTGAGGATAGGGTTTGAGTTAGGTTTAAGGATTGGGGGTGAGGGTTTCCCTAAAACCCGGACCCTCAACCCAAAACCCCTAAACTTCCCTAGCTGTGAGGGTTGAGGGCTGGGGGTCGGCAGCAGGCGGGCTTCATTCTGGAGCCACGCTGTGTGCCACCGACCATGACCGTGGAAGAGCTGGACAAGCTCAAGGGTATCCTGGCTGTCTAAGGTTTATTTTGTCTTAGGGTTTAGGGTCTAGGGTCTAGGGTCTAGGGTTTAGTGTTTAGGATTTAGGGTTTAGGGTTTTGGATTTAGGGTTTAGGTTTTAGGGTTTAGAGCACGCAAGCAGGCTTTGTTGCTTTGAGGTTTTGGGACTTGGGCATGGGGATTGCAATGCGGGATGCGTAGTTATTGTAGGGCTCGTACGAGGTAAACTTCGGTACCCATTGACCCAAGCCCTAACCTTAAGGCTCCAAGGACTGTTCTTTTAGGGTTTTTGGGGCCCAAAAGCCCTAGTACATAAGGTTTTTGGGCAATTTTGAGCCAAGGGTAATTGCTACCAAGAACACATTGATGCCTTAGTGCTTTTTCCATGTCATACACGTGAACTTGGCTGGAGCTACTACGTGAGCGGTCCTTGTACATACCACCCCACCCTCAACCCTAAACCCTAAACCCTACCCCCCAAAACCCTCTTAGGTACTCTGGGCTTCACTGGCTTCCCCGTGACCGAGAACGGACAGATGGGTGCCAAGCTCTTGGGACTTGCCCCTCGCCTCAGGGTTTAGGGTTTGGGGTGCTAGGGTTTACCCTAAACCCTAAACCCTAAACCCTAAAGCCTAAACCCTAAGCATCCTAATCTTCACAGCATCTACGCCCTATTACAGCAAACCGTAGGGCTTAAGGTTTGCAGCTCAGGGTGCAACGCCCTGGGTGTGGTGCCCTGATCGCTTAAGCCGGAACCTTCATGATCCGTACAAACCTATGTCTGACTGAGTGGCCTCCCTGTAGGCATGCACACCATACACCCAAACACGCCAGCTGAGACGCCCCCAAAAAAGCTGAAAACCCTAAACCCTGAACCGTAAACCCTAAACCCTAAACCCTAGACCCTAAACCCTAAACCCTAAACCCTAAACCCAGGCCCCCAAATTTGAGCGACCCTTTAAGTGCGTGTTGCCCAGACGGGCTCACGTCCGCGTGACGAAAGCAGGTGACGAAGCGAGACACCGACTTCATCCAGGATGGACATTGTTGCTTTAGTTGCTGTGTACCAACTTGAGTTTGGGTTTTTGGGTGGAGGTAGAGAGAACTCTGTCTATAGATCGTCTTGGGCGAGGCTTGTTGAAAGGGATGCCTAATCCTGGTTAGAGCAACTGACTGAAGATTTTTGAATGGTTGCTCGCTTTCGTTTCTCGTTTGGGTTTAGGGTTTAGGGGTTTCAGAATCTGTTTGGCCTGATTGGGCCGCACATGCTGCTTTGAGAACATGGCGAGTCTTGGGTGTGGGCCTGTCATGGGTTCCCCCTACTATCCATACTATTCAATCTTCTCCACTCATTGCTTAAGCACCCCAACGCCCCGAAACGACATCTCAAGCCAACGCCTAAGAAGCCTGGCTGGTAGCATGTTATATATATATATATGTATCTAGTTTTTTTGTTTTTATGGGGTTTGGGGCTTATAAGGCTCGAAGCCCTCGACCCTTTCAGTATAGGCTTCACTTAAGGTGGCCTCGGTATAGAGTTTACTTGGGGTGTGGGCATGGGTCGACCCGATCCGTAAAAATTGGAGTTATCATCTACTTGCTTTACAGGCCCCTGAACTGTCGTAAACCCTAAACCCGAAACCCTAAATCCTAAAACCTAAACCCTAAACCCCAAACCCCAAACCCCAAGCCCTGCACGAGTCAGGACCGCAAGACCCGCCTTAGCCAGATCATGACCCCCGCCGCCAACTTAGCGGCTTGGCCTGTCAAGTCCGAGGTTGAGGCTGAAGTAGGGGGTTGCACTCTTAGGAACGGTTGGTTTAGGGTGTAGGGTTTAGGGTTTAGGGTTTAGGGTTTAGGGTTTAGGGCTATTAGGTGCCTTACCCTCAGCCCCAGGGCTTTCGGGCTTCAGGTGCTTAGGGTTTCGAGGTCCGAAAAGCCGCGACGAGCCTTCAGGCTTAAGGACTTATGGGTTCAAGTGTTATGGGTTTAAAGGTTTAGGGGTTTAGTTTTAGGGTTTAAGGCTTAGGGCTTAGGGTTTAGGGCTGATTTAGGCAGGGGGGGGGAGAGTGTTGACTAGTTTAGAACAACTTGTTCTAAACTAGGTTCCCTGACAGATTTCAGGTTGCAATCTTTGTGAATGGGACTCTTTTCTGAAAGGTCCCTCCAAGCCATGGCCTTACTTTGCTTTTTCCCTTACTAACTAGACCCTGGACCCTAAAGGCCAAGTCCGAAAGCGCCAGCAAACTGTCAAACCCTTAACCCCACTTTGTTGAACCAAACACAGTCAAGCCCTAAGCAAAAAGTTGCAACCCTAAACCCTAAAGCCCACATTCTTGAATGGGCAGTAAACCCCAAAGCCTAAACTCCAAACTCTAAAGAACTGTCAAAACCCTAAGCCCTGAACCCTGAACCCTGAACCCTAATCCCTAATCCCTAAACCCTAACCCCTAAACCCCAAAGCCTAAACCAAAACCCTAAACCCTAAACCCTAAACCCTAAACCCTAAACCCTACAAACCCTAAACCCTAAACCCTACAAACCCTAAACCCTAAACCCTACAAACCCTAAACCCTAAACCCTAAACCCTAAACCCTAAACCCTACAACAACCAATCCCTGGCAGGTGACCAAGCTCGAGGGCTGTGATCTCCTCGAGGTCGGCTGCCACCAAGGGTTCAGTCGGGTTTAGGGTTTAGGGTCTAGGGTTTAGGGTTTAGGGTCTAGGGTTTAGGGTTCAGGGTTTAGGGTCTAGGGTTTAGGGTTTCGGGTTTAGGGTATTAGTAAGGTTTAGGGTTCAGGGGTTCAGGGGTTCAGGCGTTCAGGGGTTCAGGGGTTAGGGTTTAGGGTTTACGGTGTTAAATTTAGGAGGTTTATGGGGTTTCGGGTTTAGAAGTTTTGACCCAAGGCGCACAAAGCCCTAGATGGAGTTGAGGAATTCCAGGCCTGTAGGGCGTAGGGTTCAGGGTTTCCGGTCTAGCTGCATCGGGTTTAGGGTTTTAGGGTTTAGGGTTTAGGGTCCGCTAGGGTGTATAGGACCTAAGGTTTAGGGTCTATTGCTGAAGTTGGGTGCACTCCCATCAGACAAGCGGAGCTTCCCAACAACATCATTACTTCTGTGTTCCTTGGCGAGTTGCGTCTCGATCCCAAGCCCTGAACCCAAAACCCCAGACCCTGAACCCGCAGCCCACACTGACACGCCAGCACAAGAGACTGGGCTCCTGTGAAGAGACTCAACTTAAGGTACCATTGTGAGGGTTGAGGTTTTAGGTGGTTTGGGGTAGGTTGCCGGGATATGCACTACTTTTGTACTGTACAACCCCGTTATGATAGCTTGAGAAACCCTAGCAACCCTAGAAACCCCAGAAACACTAGAATCCCTAGAATCCCTACCCTAGAAAGCCGAGAAGCCCTAGAACCCCTAAGACCCTATAGAAACCCTAGAAACTCTGGAAACCCTAAGCCCCTATGCTTTTAGGCCAACGAGACCCTCCAGAAGTCGAAGAAGGGCAAGTGGCTTGGCCTTCAAGGACAGGTTTGCGGGGCATTGATTGGACCTCACTGTTTAGGGTTCAGGGTGTTAAGGTTTCAGGTTTAAGGCTTTAGGATGGTTTATGGTTTAGGGTTTAGGGCTTTAGGATGGTTTAGGTTTTCGGGTTTTGGGAAGACCCTGAAGTTCGCAGGACCCATCCAGGTTGCCGCGCGTCGATTTCACGGTCTGGGATGCGGGTGAGGCTATAAGTTTCCGGGTTTGGGGTGTAGATATCGAGTGTTAGGTCTATATGGGTGCGAATGCCGACTCGAACCATAAGGTTGTGCTGTTGGAGATCTCAATCGCGCAATTTAGAGCCCCAAGACCACCCTAAACCCCCCTAAGCCCTCTAAGCCCAGCAAGCCTCAACGTTCTCAAGCCCAAAACCCTGTTTTAGGGTTTAGGGTTTATATTAAAGCCCTGGTCCACGTACATAAACATTGAATGCTTGGGGCTGTAATGTCCTTCCTACATCGTGACATACGGGTCCCAGGTATATTATCTTGAGGTACATGAACCCTCATGGAGTTGGGTTCAGGATTCAGTTCTGGTTCTTGAAACCCTAAACCCCTAAACTCTAAATCCTAGACCCCAAACCTTAAGCTTCTCAACCCTCAACCTTAAACTAAACCCGAAACCTTAAACCCCTCAACCCTCAACCCTAAACCGCATCAAAGCATCAGCCCAGGCTCCCAATTGTCACGAAGGGGGGTCTCCTGGTGGCTTTGGTGGCACGCGTCTCGGAGAAAAATGTGAAGGGAGTTGACCAGGATGCCCAGTAGTACCCTTATTCCCTTTTTGGGGGGTTTAGTTTCCCTTATAAACCCCTTTAAGCAAAAAAGGGCACCCTTTTAAAGCCTAGGTTACTGGGCAGCCTAGTTGAAGGTTCGAGTCCCCTTCCAAGCCCCAGGGCTCTTTAAAGAGATGGTTTTTTGGGGTGTCGAGGAGGGTCTCTGACGGCGATCTCACTGAACTTCAAAAAGCCTCTGAAGCCTAAACGCCAAGCCCTACACCCTGCGTAATGTGGTGCTCAGCTTAAGGAACTGACATCAAGAAGAACGTTGACTTCCCCAACGCTACGAAGCACCCTGTGAACAAGGCCTGCGGCGCAGAATTAGGGTTGAGTGTGACTAGGAGTCTGAGTCTAGGGTTTTGGGTTTACCCTGTGCCCAAAAAAACCTAAGCCCTAGTGAACCCTTGAATTGAACCCTAAACCCTAAGTCAGCCCTAAGCCCTAAGCAACATCCTGGGACGGTAAGTCACCGAAGGTTCTTGGAGCCTTCAGGAAGAACCGGGCTTCCAGACTATTTGTCTAAGAACCCTCCCAAAAATCATAATAATCCCTAAATTGCCCTTGTACGGCAGCAAGCTCTCAGTTTTTGGATGGTTTCTTAGGCAAATAGTATAGTAATTTCAGGGATTGGGGTTTCGGGTTCAGGCTGGTTTAGGGTTTAGAGTTTAGGGTTTAGGTTTAGGGTTCAGGCTAAGGTTTCAGGTGCTTAGTGCTCAGGATTCCAGGGTCTCGGGGTTATGGTGTTAGGGCTTTACCCTAAGGGTCCATGTACCTCATTTTTGACATGCTTGGGCCCCACAGTCCCTACATACATATATATATATATATGTATATATATATATAGATAGTTATATATTCATATTTTGTATAATCATATGTATTTACATAATGATAGAAGTATGTATTTTCGCACACACAGAGTGCTAAACCCTAAGCCGAAGCTCCACTGGTGGAGCTGCGAGAGCAAGTAGGGAACCGACACCACCAGAGCCACAATACTTGGTTTCGGGTTTAGGGTTCAGGGTTCAGGGTTCAGGGCTTAGGGCTTAGGGTTTAGGGTTTAGGGCGACGAAGCAGCCACCGTCCAAACCCTGATGTTCCCGAAGCCCGGTCATTCCAAGGAAGCTTAGGGTTTAGGGTTTAGGGTTCAGGGTTTTGGGTTTAGGGTTTATCCCGAAACCCTAAACCCGAAACCCTAAAACCCTAAATGGGGCTTCGAGCCCCCCGCGACCAACGCTGCAGGAGTTGCTGGTGGCTGCAGCCATCGGCACGCGCCCTGCAGATCGTGATCGGGTCAAGGCGTTGGTGTGCTTCTTGAGGCTAGGACTAGGACCCCGTACTAAGGGGCTAGGGTTTAGGGTTTAGGGTTTAGTGCAGGGTTCAGGGTTCAGGGTTCAGGGTTTAGGGTTTAGGGTTTAGGGTTTAGGGTTTAGGGTTGAGGGTTGAGGGTTTAGGGTTTAGGGTTGAGGGTTGAGGGTTTAGGGCTTAGTGTTTAGGGTTTAGGGTTTAGGGGTAGGACCCTTAGGGCAAATCCGTTTCTTTTGTGGCTTAGTTTCCCTGAAACGCGCATGAATCCACCAAGGGCACCTTGGGGAAAGGCGAGGAGGAGGCGTTGAAAAGATCTTTGTGTAGAGGGTTTTTTGGGGTGCAGGCTTTTCGATCCGTTTATGTTTGGGGTTTTTAGGTGTTGGTGCGCGGGCTGGGGGGGGGGGGGGGGGGGGGGGTGGGGGGGGGGGGGGGGGGTTAGGTTTCTTGAGGCCTTGAGGACTTTGGGCTCAGAGCACTGAGAAGAGTTTAGGGTTTAGGGTTCAGGGTTTAGGGTTTAGGGAATTGGCAAGAAACACCAGCAAGATCGGCAGCACGAGCGACCTCCGGCGACGAGGTCTGATGAGAGAAGTGAATGTCGCATCAACTAGGATGCCCAGCAGCACCCTCATTCCCTTTTTGGGGTTTTAGGTTCCCTTATCAACCCCTTTAAGCAAAAAGGGCAACCTTTTTAAGCCTAGATTACTGGGCAGCCTAGTCAACTTCCCGTACTGAGTTTAAAAAAACGGAAGCTATCGCAGCTAGGACTGCGCCAGCGACTAGCTGGAAGAGGTTTTACTATTACTATTACTATTACTATTACTATTACTATTACTATTACTATTATTATTACTATTACTATTACTATTACTATTACTATTATTATTATTACTATTACTTTGCAAATGTGCAGGGAGGAGATGCGGTGTAGCGGCAAGGCAGACAGCATTTCTTGCACGGGGCATCAAGAAAATCGTTTCGGAGGCCACCTCGCTAGGGGCCCGCTTACCCAATCCGACTCGCCGGGCAAGAGGCTTGTCCGTTTGGCTCCACCATCCTGCCACAAAGAACTTACACAGGGCCAGGATGCCACCACAACAGGGTTTGGGGAAGTTAGGGTTTAGGGTTTAGGGTTTAGGAAGGGTTGCAGGGGACACTCTGTAGACCTGTCGCCAACAGGCCTTGGTAGCCGCGGGTGTGGATGCTGTCGTCATTGACAGCAGCCAGGGCGACAGCGTGCCCCTTGGAAGCAGGAAGCTTTTTTTCTGTTTAGGATGTGGAGGGTTGATAGGGTTTATTTCTTTTATGCGGATCCTTAGGGTTTTTTCGGGTTTATAGTGCCATCGTTTATAGGCGGGGTTTACAGGGTTTCGAGGGTTTAGAGGATTTCGGGTAGACGCTTTTGGCATGTGCAGCTAGGACATGGGGACACACAGCGATGGGTGCCGGCATCACGAAGACCCACAGTAGGCCCTTATTCCTTGTGCTGTAGGGTTTAGGTTCCCTTATAGCCTTATCCTTTTTCTTCCTAGGTTAGGTCGTGATGCCTTTAAAGAACGAACAAAGACACGGTTATGTTCAGTGGCGAGTTCGATGCCGAAGCTGACGCTAGTGATGGTAAGCCCTTTTGTCGCTGCTCTTCGGCTGTTGATACTTCAACCTTACCATGCGTCTCATCAACCCTAGAAGCTAAACCCTGAACCCTAAGCCCTAAGCCCTGCACCCTAAACCCTAAACCCCAAAACCTGGCTTGCTCCTCATTCTACCTGCCTTGGAGCTGAGAGTACTTGGAGGTTCATGGGTACTTTTGACCCCACATATAAGTCCACTTCTGGCCTACTTAGAGGACTTAGGGGCTTGTAGGTACAGTTATAGCTGGGGTTATAAGTACCCTGAACCTCCAAGTATCAATGGCCCGATGATGTGAAAATGAGGGGAACGCAGCTGCAACTAAGCCAAAACCCTGACAAACCTTTAGCCCTAGACTCTAAACCCTAAGCCCCTAAACCCTTAAACCCTAAACCCTTAAACCCTTAAATCTTTAGACCTTAAACCCTTAAACCCTTAAACCCTCAACCCTTAGCCCTTAACCCCTTAGGCCCTAAACCCTTAGCCCCTATACACCCGAAACCCTAAAACCCTCACACGCTGAACCTCTTTTGGGCGACCCTGAACCCTAAACCCTAAACCCTAAACCCTAAACCCTAAACCCTAAACCCTAAACCCTAAACCCTTGGGCTTCGGAGAGACTCGCGGCCTGGTAGAAGAAGTTCATGAGACCCCGAAGACCGAAGCCCTGGAGCCTAAGCAGGGTTTAGGGTTTAGGGGTTTAGGGTTTGGGTTTTAGGGTTTAGGGTTGAGGGTTTAGGGTTGAGGGCTTAGGGTTTAGGGTTTAGGGGGGGGGGGGTTCCGAAACAGGTTTCAGCACGAGATGGTCAAGTGGATCAAGGGCACCTTCCCCGATTTGCAGGCGGCACTTGCACAAGCGCTTGAAGGTTGGAGGTCTTAGGTTCCTTGCTTTTCTGGCACTTACTTTTTCGTGTGCACAAAAGCACCAATTGTTTTGATATCTGTGTGTGTTTGCTGTTTGCTTTTGCCAAGCAAATTATTGCATTTGTCTCTAAGCCCTAAACTCTAAACCTTAAACCCTAAACCCCCCCCCCCCCCCCAACAAAAACAAAAACAAAAAGGGCCCCGCCTGCCATTTTTCATCTCAGCTAATCACCTCGCCCGGGTCTCCTTTCCTGGCCTCCCGGAAATTCCACCAGACAACCTGCAGCACATCCCCGAGGTGCCCTGCACCAGGGTTTAGGGTTTAGGGTTTAGGGTTTGGGGTTTAGGGTTTAGGGTTTAGGGTTTAGGGTTTAGGGTTTGGGGTTTGGGGTTTGGGGTTTAGGATCGGGAGGCCAGGTTTGCTGAAGGCTCAAGCTCTTTGGCGCGACTCCACGCGTGATTCCGTAGGAAGTAAGTTTAGGGTAAGTAGCTCTCGAGTGCCCACCATGCCAGAGTCCCGTGAAGACAGGCGCACAGAGAATCCGAAGCCCTGCAGCGCAAGCACGCACGCACGCACAAACACTGACACACAACAATGCACGCACGCAGGTCGCTTTTACGGCTTTTGGGGGTGGCACAGAGTTGGCTGTCTTCGTTTGCTCATGCCGTTTGTTGTGACATGTGCTGGGACCCGGAGAAGGCCCTTATTCCTTGTTTGGGGGTTTCGGTTCCCTTACAAGCCACTTGTAAACCAAAAGGGGCACCCTTGTTATTCCTAGGTTGCACTTGGGGCTAGTGCGTGTCTGCCTCAGGTGGTAGCTGGCAACGTGGTGACGAAGCGCCAAGCCCAGCATTTGATCGAGCGCCTCGGCACGCGATGGCGTTGTACAGGCTTGGCTTAGATCCCTAAGGGTCCATGTAACTCAATAGAAAATACTTGGGCCCTAAATCCCCTTAAAATCGGAGCATATATTATATTTATATATGTTCTAGGCACATGGACCCTGAGGGGTTTTCCCTTAAGCCTAGACCCTTTACCCTAAAACATGAAAAGGATAGGGACCTCATTAACCCAAAGAACCCTCCCTAAACCCTACGCCCTAAACCCTAAACCCTTAGCCCTCAACCCCTTACCTTAGGGTATAATGAGGGCTTCAGGGCACTTAGGGCTTAGGGTTTTTTGCCGTTTCGAGATGTCGTCGAGCATCCAGCTCGACTCCAGCCAGAGTGCTATTCCTTTGTTATCAGGGTTTAGGGTGTAGGGTTAGGGTGGCGGGGGTTTGAATTGAATAGACTTCATTCATCGTTATTTGATTCAGGGCTTATAAACTACTATTTGCTTAAGAACCCCAAAAGATTAAACGAACATAATATTCCCTTTTAGGGTTACCGGTTTAGAGTTTACGCTTAATAAGGAAGAATATTTTTTCGGGGTTCTCAAGCATCTAGTAAAAAGAGGGCCTGAGACAATAGCACCAGCTCAATGTTGGCCCCGACTGTCTCATTCTGCGGACGTAGACCCGAGACTTCCTCCAGCAAATTTGTTTAAGCGCAGGGCTGCTTGTGTTTGGGGGGTTTAGGGGGTTGAGGGGGTTTAGGGGGTTTAGGGGGTTTAGGGGGTTTAGGGGGTTTAGGGGGTTTAGGGGGTTTAGGGGGTTTAGGGGGTTTAGGGGGTTTAGGGGGTTCAGGGTTAGGGTTTAGGGTTTCGGGTTTAAGGTTTAGGGTCTAGGGCTTAGGGTTCAGGGTTTCGGGTTTAGGGTTTAGGCTCCCTAAGCCTTGTGAGGTGAGGTGAGGTGAGGTGAGCATCGACCGAAGCACGAGCCTGGCCTAACAAAAAGGTAGCCCCTCCGGCGCAAGGCCTAAAGAGCAAACCCCAGCAACACAACGCGCAGGAACAGCAACGGGGAACAACAACACGAAACGCACCAGACGGACGAACGAGCGAACGAACGGAAACAGTCGTTTGCCGACTTTTCCGAGCCCCTTTCCCTGGCACAGCAGCAGCGACGGTAAACGGGGGCACGCCGCGCGAGCGGTCTTCATTCCCAGACCCGCGAGATGTCACGTGTCGAGAGCGGCTGCGGGCATGTCGGCTCCCAGATCGGCCGCGCACACCGGAACCGCGAGCACCGCTCGCCCGGTGTGCCCTGCGCCGCTGCCTCTGGCTTTTTGAGGTGGATGAGCTCCTGCGCCTGCGACCACCACGGCGTCCGGAGTGGACCCCACTCCCGCCATTTCGGTGGATTACAAGCTCTCTTACGCTTGCTCCGCCATGGCAAGCCCGAGGCTTAGGGCCCTCACACACATTTGGTGATCAATGGCTAAGGAAGGACGATGCCGGGAAAGGTCAAAACTGCACGACGATCGAATTTTGGCTCTGGGGCTTGGGTCCCTAAGCCTTGTTTGACCTGAATTATGAACCCTACAAACCCTGAGCCCTACATGGTTGCGCAGGCACAGCTAAGACGGCGCAATGAAACGCTGCCTTCCAATCTCTATTCAAGGTCACCCCCCACTGACATTGCAGTGTCGGGTATCAAGAAATGTACCTACTTCGGGGCCCTGCAAGGAGCGCCCCCCCCCCCCCTACTATATACCAACTGTAGTTAAGGAACTTATAACTTATAACCTATAAGTTAGGAGCCTTATAACCCAATTTAGGGTCCTTAACTCTACTTATCACTAGTGGGCCCCTCCTGATGTACCTTGAACTTTATAAACCAACAAGCTCCACCTCGATTCGCCCAGCACCCCAAAACCACAAAATGCCGTGCAGTTGTACACGATCCACACAGTGCTTTCGTAAACCCTAAGACCCTGAACCCTAAACCCTACGCCCCAAAACCTGAACACTAAACCCTAAAATGAGCCCTAAACAAGGCGACAAGGTAAACCGTATGAGCCCCAAAAATCTACACCCTAAACCCTGGACCCTCATCCCTGAACCCAAAACAATCGAGCGCTGAACCTTAACCCTAAACCTGAAATCCTGAACCCGAAACAAAGAGACAAGGTGTGGCGCAGATGCTCTCCGTGTTGGCATGGGGATCGGCTCCATCTGTACGACGCAGGTGCAGCTCTGGGGTTTGGGGTTTGGGGTTTAGGGTTTAGGGTCTATGTCCAGTTTAGGATTTAGGGTTTAGGGTCTTTATGGTCCAGGAAGCACCTCCTTGTAGACCCTGTCAACCCCTTTCCATTTAAAACACTGTCACGTCTATGAACCCACTCCACCCTGGAAGTCTAAACCCTAAACACGCTCAACCCCAAATACAAAACCCGGAACCTTATCTATAAGCTAAGACACTCCCTGGCCCGATGGACCACAAACCTGAGAATCCCTGCAAGCCCTGTAAAACCCTGGCCTCCGCAACCGGAAGACCCTAATGCTCTAAACCACTAACCGCTAAACCCCTAAACCCCTAAACCCCTAAACCCCTAAACCCCTAAACCCCTAAACCCTAAACCCTAAACCCGAAACCCTAAACCCTAAACCCTAAACCCTAAACCCTAAACCCCAAACCCTAAACCCTAAACCCTAAACCCTAAACCCTAAACCCTAAACCCTAAACCCTAAACCCTAGCCCTAAACCCTAAACCCTAACCCCCTTACACAATCCTGTAAATCCAAAGCCCTGGCCGGAGGAAGTCTGCGCCTGCGGCCGTGCTCAAGCTTCCGCCGTCTACAATGCCTTTTGGGGCTGCAGGGTTTAGGGTTTAGGGCTTTAGGGATTTAGGGTTTAGGGTTAGGGTTTAGGGTTTAAGGTTTAGGGTTTAGGGTTAGGGTTCAGGGTTTAGGGTCTAGGGTTTAGGGTTTTGGGCTTAGGGCCTCGGGTTTGGGGGTCATCAGGTTTAGGGTTCGGGGGGTTTAGGGTTTTGGGTGTAGGGTTTAGAGTTAGGGTTGTAGTGTTCAGGGTGTAGAGTACTAGGAGTTGAAGGTTTAGGGTCTAGGGTGTTAGGAGTTCAAGGTTTAGGGTGCAGGGGTTGGGGGTTTGCCGTGTCAGTGTTGGGCGGGGGGGGGGGGGAGGGGGTTGAAGTTCTAGGATGCCCAGTAGTACCCTTATTAATTCCCTTTTTGGGGGGTTTTAGGTTCCCTTATAAATCCCTTTCAGCAAAAAGGGCACCCAGCCTAGAGTTAGGGTTTGTAAGGTCAGGGTTCGGGTTTAGGGGTTGTGGGGGGGGGGGGGGGGGGGGGGTTCAACTCTGGGGCTGCGAGCCGAAGGTTCACGTTTAGGGTGCAGGGTTGAGGGTGGCCTTTGTTTTCCTCCAGGTCTTAGGTTACCCTAAGCCCTAGACCCTAAGAACCTCAAACCTACAGCATAGGGTTCTACGAAGTGTTCTCCCATGTTCCTCAGTATTGAATACTTGGGGCCCGAAGTCGCTCTGTGGCAAGTGCTTTTGGCTATGGCCCAAGTATACCCTATTTGAAGCGCTTGGACCCTTAAAGCATCAGAACCGCAGCTTTGGATCCTGTTATGGATTCCAGCGGCGTTCAGGGTTTCAGGCTAGGGAAACCAGTTCCCCCCCAAACAAAAAACATCCCCTAAACCCTGAACCCTACACCCTAAACCCTAAACCCTAAACCCTCAACTCTACATCCTGAACCCTTTACCCTTTTTTGTCGAAGCAGAGGTGGCGAAGCTGGCGAGGCTCCACGGCGTTCCCATCCTGGCGGATGGTGGCATCTCCAGCCCAGGTGCTGGAGTGGAAGGGTTAGGTTACCCTAAACCCTAAACCCTAAACCCCAAACCCCAAACCCCAAACCCTAAACCATAAGCCCTAAACCCTAAACCCTAAACCCTAAACCCCAAACCCCAAACCCTAAACCCTAAACCCTAGCCCTAAACCGTAAGCCCTGCACGTCGTGCTGGGTGTGTGGCGGCTCTACCAGCGGCTTGCCCAGCCAGGTCACATCGTCAAGGCGCTCAGCCTTGGTGCAGGGGCGGCGATGTGTGGCCACTCGGAGGATTGTGTACCTAGGGTTCAGGGTCTCGTTGCTGTTTAGTTTTTAGGGTTTGTACTCTGGGGACTCACTGAACCCAAAACATCCTCACACGGCTCTATTCCCAAGGGAAAGTCCAAATTTTAGGGCTCCAAAGCGGCTAAGAAATGAAGCCTAGTGAAGCCTAAACCCGAGCCCTCCAAGCCCAGGTAGCCTCCTCGCCGGCACGGCGGAGACTCCCGGTGAGCGCCCGGGCGGCATGGTTTGAGCTTTATTATAGGGTCCCGAGATGTCGTGTTTCCTGGAGGAAGCCCAGAGCCTGTCAGGGGTGTGGTGGAACACGGTGCCACCTAAGCCCTACATGGAGGCCTCCATCCCCCCCCCCATGCTAACTGTAGTTAAGGTACTTCTCACTCTAAGTTAGGAGCCTTATAACCCAAGGTAAGGTCCTTGTAAACTCTGTCTTATAGCGTATAACTCTACTTATAACTAGGGTCTCCCTCCTTGTATCGGCCACAACGTTAGAATCAGCCAAGGGCCGAATCAGCCTTCATAAGGCCGCTCATTGTAACTCATAAGCCCAAGCTGCTTAAGCTAAGTTTACGCATAAAGTACGTTACTAATAAGTGTTCCCTTTCCATCGCCGTCACGGAGGTACCCTGAGGTACCTAGTTTTCAAAGATGTTTGTAACATATGCAAAATGAAACTTAGGGGGCCGAAGGGCCGGAAGGAAGAACTTTCTTTGGATCCTGTTTGGTTGGGTCTCGCATTCCTTGCAAAGCCTTTGAACATCCTTTGAGCCAAACCCGAAACTCCAAACCCTCCAGCTCAGAGTTTGGGCTTTCGGGTTTAGGGTTTAGGGGTTTAGGGCTTAGGGTTTAGGGCTTAGGGTTTAGGGTTGGAGCTTGGGGTTTAGGGTTTAGGGTTTAGGATAATTTAGAGTTTGGGCTTTGGGGTTTCCTGCGAGGTACTTCTACTCCGACGACGGCAAGCGACTGAAGCGCTACCGCGGTATGGGCTCCATCGACGCCATGTGGCCTGGGCAGCAGCAGGCCCTAAGCCCTAAGCCCTAAACCCTAAACTCTAAACCCTAAACCCTGAACCGGTTTCGGTGTACAGGGGATGAGGGGGTGGCGCCACAGGATTTGTTGGTGCATTTTCTGTCAAAACAGCGTCAAAGCGAAACATGCCCGAACCCCCAAACTGATCCATTAGCCCCCAATGCATGAAACCTTGTGCCGGAAAATCGAAATGGTCAGTTGTGTGAGCTCGGGTTCTTTAAGCAAAACACGGCCCCCTTACATTCAGGGTGCCCCAAAGAAGAGAGAGTAACAATTTCAGGACCTTGAAGGCCTAAACCTGAGCCGAACCTGAACCCTACACCCTAAACCGCTACCCGGAAACGTTAGTCGAAGCCCAGTTCTGCCTTGAACCCCCAAACCGTATACGTTTAGGGCTCCAGGCCCCTCAACACCCCACACCCTCAACCCTATACCCTAAACCCTCAACCCTCAACCCTCAAACCCTAAACCCTAAACCTAAACCCCAAACCCGAGCTACTCAAAGCCGGCGGGGCCGCCTCAAGCAAGGAAGAAAGGCAGCGACGACCGCTACTTCGGAACGGCCGCCGTGATCAAGGCACCCACTGCCTCGCAGACTGGGTGTAGGATGTTTGGGGATTTAGGGTTTAGGGTTTAGGGTTTAGGGTTTAGGGTCAGACTTCATCTCCAAAAAGCCCTAATCCCTAAACCCTTCCTTCTACACCCCCAATGACCCAGCTTGAGCATGAATAGGGTTTAGGGTTGGGGGTTTAGGGTTTAGGGTCTAGGGTTTAGGGTTTAGGGCTCAGGGTCCTCAATTGCCCCCGACGAGCCCAGAGCATACGGAGAAGGAGCTGCCGATCTTTTGGGGGTTTACTTACCTACCCTATGGGTCCATGTACCTGAATTGGGACAACTTGGGCCTTAAAGTACTTCCTATACAAGGACTTTGGGGCCCAGGTACATGGACCCTTAGGGTGATCCAATATTTGAACTTGTTGCAATTCTCCTTAGTCAGTAGAACGAGTAAAGCTTAACCTTTTTGAAGCCTTGGTTTTTGGAGAAATAAGTTTAGGGTTTAGGGTTGATATGGAAATCTCAAAGCCTCAGAAAAATCACGCTCCCTTTTGGGTGGTCGCATGTTTAAGAGCCGTGTTGAAACAAGAAGCAGGGACCCTAGACCCCAAACCCCCAAACTTTAAACCCTAAACCCTAAACCCGACACGAAGCGAAAGCAAGTGCACAGGTGGCCCAGGGCGTGTCCGGGACGGTGCAGGACCTTGGCCCGTGCTGGTGGGCACTCTAAAGTCAATACGCTTCGTCAACAAAAGCTAGGGCCTCATTTTCCCAGTTTTTGGGTTTAGGTTCCCTTATTTAGGTTCCCTTATACAGGCCCTTTAACCCGAAAGGATTTCCTTTAATCTCAGGTTACTCTTGGGTCTTCAAAATGACATCAAATAGTATTAATTTAATACGTATATGTATATGTATACATTCATATACACCATGTATGCATGCATGCATGTATATATATATATATATATATTTATATGTATATATGTATATGCAGACACTAGATTTGTTTTTTTTTCAGGGGGGGTGCTCTCATTGTGAGAGGTTCTTTTTTTTTGGGAGGGGGGGTTGACAGGAGTTGTTGTGTTTTTTGGGGGGGTTGAAGATTCAAGCGAACGCACCAAGCCCTCACGTAGTTTCTTTCGGACCCGAAACTTTAACTTCCGCTCGCTGAAGCTTGTTTTAAACCCTGGTGCATACAGGTGAGGGGATTGTAGGAGTCTTGAGTTCACACTGTTTGAGTCTTGCTGCATGAGGCTTTGTAAAGGGATTGCGCCCCAACAAACCCTAAATCCCTGAAGCCCTCCATCTTTTGGCGGCAACGAAACGTTGGGCCAAGGTACATTCAAATCCCCAAGCCCTAAGCCCATTCCAAGCAGCCCCAAAAAAGGCGGCCAAGAAAGCTGTTGTGGACTTAGGGCTTTGAGGGTTTGTTCATGAGGAAGGTAACCAGGGTCCTTGCACTCAGCCCGGTCAACCCTAAACCTAAACCCTTCTTCGGCTGCCGCACTGGCATCTCGTCTAATCTGCACGGTGTGGGGGGTTTAGGGTTTAGGGTTTAGTTTGGGGTTTATGGTTTAGTTTAGGGTTTAGGGTTTAGGGTTATAATAAGGGTACCTTTTAGGGGTCCTTGTTTTAAAGGGGGTTCTTCTATATTTGGGGGTGGGGTGCCCCTCTTTTCGTAAACCCCCCCCCCCCCCACGTTTTGAAGGACAAAGGCAGCATCCACAAGTACATCCCGTACCTCACGCCACTTGGAGAGGTTTGAGGTTTTGGAGAACGAAAGCACCCCAAATCCTTAACCCGACGCTTTTCGGGCTAAGTGGATGTTTTGTTGTCCAACTGGCTTTTAGTTAAGCACTGAAGCAACCCATGTACCTGAAGAGTGACTTGGGCCATAAAGTATATGGACTTTGGGCCCTTAGGATTTAGGGTTTGGGGGGGGGGGGGGGGGGGGTTTAGGGGGAATCTTCGGGCGTTTCACATTCCCATCCCTGCACCTGAGTTCAGGGTTTCGGATGCATGGTGGTCAGGGCTTCATGTGCCTAGCTATGGCATACTTGGCCCTTACATGTACGTCTCATGTGGCATGTGGCGGGTTAGGGTTTAGGCTTCGTAAACCGTACAACATAAACCCGAAACCCTAAACCCGAAACCCTAAACCCTAAACCCCAAACCTTGATCCTCTGCTGAGGCAGGGCATCAAGCACGGCATGCAGGACATCGGCGCGGCGAGTGTGGACAAATTGCAGTCTATGCTGCAGGACGCTTAGGTTTTTTAGGGTTCATGCAGGGTTTAGGGTTTAGGGTTTAGGGTTTATAGGGGTTATAGATTGAGGGTTTGGGGTTTAGGGTTTAGGGTTTAGGGTTTAGGGTTAGGGTTTAGGGTTTAGAGGGGTTATAGATTGAGATGTTCCTTCTCCTACTAACGGCTCCTTAATAGGGATTATAGTACCCCATACTATAATCCTTATTGAGGACTGTTAGTATAAGGGGGAACATCCCAGGTTATAGCCCCTAAGGGTTTGGCCTTAAATTACTTCCTATATAAGGACTTTGGGGCCCAAGATTTGTTTTAAATGAGGTACATGGACCCTGAAGGAGAGTTTGTAGGGGTCCACAGTTTTTTGGGTTATGGAGTTTGTCTAGGCCTTGTTATGAAACGCCTATGTACATTCTGCATATTGAGGGCCCATGCTTCCAACCTCAGAGTTTACAGGGGTTTAGGGTGTAGGGTTTAGGGTTTAGGCTTTAGGGTTTAGGGTTTCGGGCTTAGGGTGTAGGATTCCAGGTTTAGGGTTTAGGGTTTAGATTGTAGGGCTTTTTTTGCTCGTCCGCCTATCTGGACCCTACACTGTCTTGCCCTCACCAACCCCAATCACTGCAGTGTGGTGCTGTCGCACTTTGCTTGCAGTTTAGTTAGGGCAGCAACTGGCTTCGAGGGCACTTCGGTAGACTACTCTTCCTTGTTCCCTTAAAACCCATCAAAAACACCCAGCCAAACCATAGAAACGCCGATCCCCAAATGCAAAAAGGAACCTAAAGTGCCCTGAACACTGAACCGACATAAGAGCCCCAAGCCGGAAACTGGAGAAGCTCTGAACCTGAAGCCCTCTAAGGCATACAAACCCTGAAGCCCTCTGAAACCTCTAAACCCTAAACCCTAAAACCCTAAACCCGAAACCCTAAACGGTAACCCTGAACCCTTAACCCAAAACCCTAAACCCTGAACCCTAAACCCTAGCCCTAAACCCTAAACCCTGAACCCTAAATCCTGAGCCCCAAGAGCCCCTCCTTCACGAATGGCCTTCCAGGAAGGCCAGCTAAGCCCTGCAAAACCTGAGCCCGTTTTGGTTTAAGGGTTTAGGGTTTAGGGTTTAGGGTTTAGGGTTTAGGGGGTTTAGGGTACTTAAAGGGTTTAGGGTTTATGGTTGAAGGGCTTAGGGTACATAAAGGCTTTAGGGCACCTAAAGGTTTTAGGGTTAAAGGGTTGAAGGGTTGAGGGTTTAGGGCATTTGAAGGTTCATGGACGAAGTTGAGGCCCAATGCTTCGAATCGCCTGCGACTCAAACCTGAGGCCCAAGTCCGAATCGACCCTGAACCGAAACAAGAGCATAACCAGCCCTAGCCGAAGCTTGCCAACGCCGAAACCCCTAAACCCTCAGCTCAAACCAGGTCTTAACCCCGAACCCCAAGGAGCTCCCCCCCCCCCCCAACCGCTTGGTTGCAAGGAAGTTACCAGAACCAATGAGTGGGTCATAAGCCTATCCCAACTTAGGGCTATCAGTCCATTGACTACAATTGGTATAGTACGGGCCCTCCTTACAGCACAACCTTCACACCATTTGCGAAAGAACCCTCAGAAATATAACATATTCTTCATTACGAGTGTATTTGGGGGGGTTCTTAAGCAAACAGTAGGTATGTTTCCCCTTATTGGGTTTAAGAGGATCAAATTGAGGAGGAGTGTTGTTCAGAGGGTTTTTAAGGGCTATCCTAGGGTCTTACCCCCGAACCACCGCCCTAGACCCTAGACCCTAAACCCTAAGCCCTAAACCCTAAGCCCTAAACCCTCAACCCTAAACCGTACCTTCACAGGAGGGCCAACTTCGCTTTGAGCTCCGCTCCGCGGCGGCGCAGCGCGAGGGCGGCGTGCATGGTGTCTTGGCACTTTGGAGTTTTAGGGTTTAGGGTTTAGGGCTTGCTTCTAACCCCAATGATTACTGTAGCTAGATGACTCCCCTAGAAGTCCCCTAAGTGGCTTCCCCCCATGAAATAACGGCGGGGGGGGGGGGGGGTAGTATGGAGGGCGGTAGTAGGGGAAACCGTGGCTTTAAGGGTCGCTTGTACCCATAGCCGGAATCGAAATAGCTAGGCATGGCGAGACTGAGAGACAGCTGTACAATCAAGCGCAGTCAGGCCTTAGACCCTATTTAAAAAAAGAAACAAAACAAAACAAAACAAAAAAACTATAAGCCCGAAACCCCTGAAGCCTAAACGCTGGCCCTGAAACCATGAAAACCCTAAACCCTAAACCCTACTTGGGGTTATATATAAGTACCCATGAACCTCCAAGCAGGTTTGCTCGCGGGACGGGCTTTAAACGTCGCGGTGCGAATGCAGATTCAGGTTGATTAGGGTTTAGGGTTCAGTGTTTAGGGTTTAGGGTTAGGGGTTTGGGGTTTGACTTCATAGGGCTTACAGGGCTTACAGGGTTTGGAGGGTTTATAGGGTTTATAGGGTTTACAGGGTTTATAGGGTTTATAGGAGTTTATAGGGTTTATAGGGTTTATAGGGTTTATAGGGCTAAACCCTAAACCCTAAACCCTAAACCCTAAACCCTAAACCCTAAACCCTAAACCCTAAACCCTAAACCCTAAATAGGGTTGATAGGGTTCATTGCTTCGCAGCCGGAGCCAGAAGCGTCTCTGGAGGTTTAGGACTTTTTGGGCTTCATCGGGCTTCGGACTCCAGATCTCCGGGTTTAGGGTTTAGGGTTTAGGGTTTAGGGTTTAGGGTTTAGGGTTTACCTAGACCTTCTAGAACCTGAAAACTTGTAGGTTCTTTGCGAGAAACCCGGTTTTGGAGGACATAGCTAAGAAAAACCCGGTTTCCTGCCGCAAAACCGGGTTTTGCTCTTGAGCAAGAGCCCGCAACCCGTATTTTACCCGTACAAAACCCGTATTTTACCCGTACAAAACCCGTATTTAAAATATGGGTTCGGGGCTTTCGCCAAGAACCCAGTTTTGAGTTGCAAAACCCGGTTATTTTCAAGAACCTACAATTTTTCAGGTTCTGGAAGGTCTAGGTAGGGTTTAGGGTTTAGGGTTTAGGGTTTAGGGTTTAGGGTTCAGGGTTCAGGGTTCAGGGTTCAGGGTTTAGGCTTGGAACCCCTTGCCAGCAGAGGGTGGCTCAATAAACCCTAGCTTTTCATGCAGCAGGTTTGCACAGCTTCGAGCGCAAGCTATTCGACAGCTGAGCCTGCTTCACGTGCTGACGAATTTTGCCGGCGCCACCTCCGCGACCTTTGAACGCTTCGAAAGTCTGGCGCTTTCGTTTCTTGGAACATTTTCGACGGAGCGTGTGTGCAGTTAGACTTCTCACTCGTCATCAGGAGCAGATTGACGTCATAATCCCATCAGTTCTGGTCACTAGCTTCGGGTTTTGGAGTATGTGTCGGACGTGCCATGTAGGGAATTTTGGGGCCCAAGTATAGAATAAGGCGGTACATGGACCCCTAGATACATGTCTACCATCCTGTAGTCGCTCAAAAGGAAGGAAGTTGAGGTAGATAGGGTTTAGGGTTTAGGGTTTAGGGTTAAGGGTTTAGGGTTTAGGGTTTAGGGTTCAGCATCTCAAGTTCGAGCATTTACTAGGCCAGTAGTGTGTTCAGGCAACGGAAAAAAACCCACCCGCCCAAAGAATCCCATAACATTAAGAAAATATAAGGTTTTCATCCTACCCCAAAGAGTTTTACCTACCCAAGTCAGACACGTTTTCAACTGACCAACACCCGTTGCGGGAGGAAGGGAGCTGGAGGGGCAGGGGGGGAAGGAAGGGGGGTGAAGGAGGGGGGTGGATGGGGGTGGGGGGTGAGGGTGTGGGCGGGGGGGGTGCGGGGGTCGGGGGGGGGGGGGGGGGGGGTGGGGGGGGGGGGGGGGGCAAGGACCTTGCCCGCTAATTTTCGGACCTTGCCCTTGCTAATTTTCGGACCTTGCCCGCTAATTCTCGGGCCTTTCCCGGGTCCGAAAATTAGCGGGCAAGGTCCGAAAATTAGCGGGCAAGGTCCGAAAATTAGTGGGCAAGGTCCGAAAATCAGTGGGCAAGGTGGTGGGTCAGCGGGCAAGGTCCGAAAATTGGTGGGCAAGGTCGTGGGGCAGCCAATGGACCTTGCCCACTGATTTTCGGACCTTGCCCGCTGATTTTCGGACCTTGCCCGCTAATTTTCGGACCTTGCCCGCTAATTTTCGGACCTTGCCCACTAATTTTCGGACCTTGCCCGCAAAGCCATTAACATTTATATTATATATGAAAGAGTGGTTTAGGGTTTAGGGTTTAGTTAGGGTTGTGTAGTTTGGGCCCTACTGGAGGGTTTTTGAGGCTAAAAACGGGTACATAAGAGCCCCCACACTCAGGAACCACAGCTACGGCGCTTAGGGTTTAGATATGCAGGGTTTAGGGGTTCAGGTTTTGTTGGGTGTCATACATTCTTTTAGAAACCAAAAAAGGCAACCCTTTCTAATTCATAGGGAACTTGGCCAGCAAGTCTTGGACGAAAAGAAAACTGCTGACACGCTTGCCGGTTTTGCCCTCTTGAGACCGCCAGCCATGCTCTTCCTGCGCGGCGGTCATTGATTTCATGCGCGCTCGCGTCCTGAAGACCAAAGCGAAGGGATTAGGGTTTAGGATTTAGGGTTTAGGGTTTAGGGTTTAGGGTTTAGGGTTAGGGTTTAGGGTTTTTTAGGGTTTAGGGTTTAGGGTTTAGGGTTTGGAGTTTAGGGTTTAGGGTTTAGGGTTTAGGGTTTAGGTATGGCTTATAGGGTTATGTTCGTGAGAGCTGAATGTTGAAATGTTGAACACTGGACAGCATCTCAGCTTGTTTTCCTTTTGCACCTTGCTTTGCAAATTGTGTTCAGGCGCAGAGTAGGCCCACGATTTCAGTTTCAAATTAACTCAAGAGAGTTTCGCTCGCCGAAGCCATCAAGGGCCTGATACCAACCTTTTTCTGTCGCACGCATCCGAAGCCCCGCACTTTCAGTAACCAACCCTCCAACGTTTGCAGCTGCGCAGATGCTTCGGGCCCCTGTGGCGCCTCGGCGGTTTTTTTGCTCATGAGCAGGTCAACACCCTGCGAAAGCTAAGGCACTCTGGAGGAGTGGCCTGAGAGCCCCAAGCCCAAACCCTAAACCCTAACCCCTAATCCATAAATCCCTAAACCCGAAGTCCCTAAACCCTGAAGCCCTGAGCCCTCCGCGCTCCCCCGCTGGAGGACTCAGGCATAGTCTTGAGACTCACCCGGTCAGGGAAAAGGCGCGCGCAGAGCCAGGTCTGCTTGGGGGAGGGTTCATAGGGTTTATAGGGGTTTACGTGCATGAAGAGGGCTGTTGGGGTTTATATGATATATAAGCCATAGTATGGCATGTGGGGTTTAGAAGGTTTAGGGTTTAGGGTTGAGGGTCTATAAATTAGGATTATTATATGGCTTATGGCGTTTGGAAGGTTTAGGCTTTTGAGGTCTAGGCTTGATTGCAGATAAGCGGCCACACAGCCGAATTACGCAACAAGGCCTTGTCAGGATGTGGGAGCCGAGACCGAGAAAGTCTCAACCCCTGAACAGGTCCAGCTCCGATTCTGCCACACCCTACCCACCCTAAACCCCAAACCCTGCACCCTAAAGCCTAAACCCTAAACCCAAAACCCTAAACCCAAAACCCTAAACTTTCCCTAAATGGGACCCTAAACCCTATACCCTGAAATCTTAAGCCGCAGACCCGGACTGAGAACTTGGAACCACAAACCCTGGTATACCACGAGAGGCCGACTGCCGTGGCAACACTGCAGGCGCTGACCAGCAGGGTTTGGGGGTGAACCCTAAACCCTAAACCCTAAACCCTAAACCCTAAACCCTAAACCCTAAACCCTAAACGGGGAGCGGCCTTGTGCTGCCCGCAACCACGGGTGGAAACTCAGCAGCTAGACCGTTGTGCAGAAGCCGCTGCGAGTCGGAGCCCTAAGCTCTTAAACTCCAGGGACTACAGGAGGGACCCTTAAAAGGGACCTTAGGAGTTATTCTTGGGGTTTTTTAGAGGCTACTTAGGTATATAGGGACTGCAAAAGGTATATATAGGGGTTCTGTAGAGGGATAAGATGAAGGGTCCCTTCTAGGGGTCCCTCCTTATACCCCTCAACAAACCCTTCGGTCCTGGAAATTTTAGGATTTGTGAGTTCGGGTTCAGGGTTTTGGTGGGGAACCCCCCTCCCCAAGCCAGTTTGCTTTGCCAGGACCTGCAGATGCTGACAAGCAGAAGCCTGTCCAGCAGCATCACCGACGTGTGGGAAAAAACAAGCATAGGTTTGGGGTTTAGGGTTTAGGGTTTAGGGTTTAGGGCTACCCCGAGCCCTCAAAGCCTTAGACCCACAGAATCCCAAACCCTTAAATCTGCAGTTTGCAGGTGGGATGTTCCCCCTTATACTAACAGCTCCTGAGTAGGGATTGTAGTACCCCTGATGACACTCCCCATGAAAGGCCTGTTAGTATAAGTCGGGAACATCCCAAGTTTGCAGGGTTGAACTTATAACTTCTAACCCTAAACCCTAAACCCTAAACCCTGAACCCCTACCAAATCCCCTTGAACTCTTGCATGCTGGGCTTCAGTTGTTCGAGCTTCAAACTTGGCAAAGGCCTCCAGCTCAGCCACCGGGGTGGACGGTTGCCTAGGTTTCTTCGCCTGTCCCTACCCTAAACCCTAAACCCTAAACCCTGAACCCTAAACCCTAAACCCTAAACCCTAAACCCCAAACTGGTCTAGTCTCTGGGACAGGGCCCACCACTGTCACCTGAGTCCACGTCGTCTTCCTTGGGGTCGATTTCCCTAAGGGTCCATGTACCTCATCATTATATACTTGGGCCCCAACTTCCCTGCATAGCAAGTACTCCTACGCCCGGGCATTCCCTAAACCCTAAACCCTAAACCCTAAACCCTAAACCCTAAACCCTAAACCCTAAACCCTAAACCCTAAACCGGGGCGTTCCCTATTTGGGTGCATGGACCCATGCGGTTTTGCTTTAGACTCGTTGTGTATGGTTGGCAAGCTCTAAACTCTGCCACCTAGACACTCAAACCCTAGTTCCCTAGGCCTTTAGCCCTAAATCCCAAACCCTAAACCTACTTGGAGGGCTATGAGAAGGGTAGCTAAGGTTCTAACCGTATTTAGGGTACTTTTCAACCCTGCTTAGAAGCACCCATGAACCTTCAAGTAAGACCTTGTGAGTTCGAGCCTGTAATCCTAAACCCTAAACCCTAAACCTTTAAGCCTAAACCCTAAACCCTTTACTCTTTGCACCCCGCAGCATTTTCATCAGTGCAAGTGTGCATACGTCAAGGCGTGCACGCCGCCCGGCTCGAGCCATGTAGGGAGTCGAAGCTTTTAGGGTTTAGGGTTTTAGGGTTTGGGGTTTAGGGTTTAGGGTGTAGGGTTTAGGGTTTGGGGTTTAGGGTTTGGGTTCGGGGTTTGGGGTGCACCCCTAAAGGGTTGTTTGGGTTATATAGCCCTAATGTACTCCTATTGTTGCATCTATATTTCTTTGCCGACAAACCCTAGAATCTGTTGAAGGGTTCTACCAAATCCCCAAGCCATGTCCTGGTCTACACTTTAGGGTATAGGGTTTAGAGTTTAGGGGCTTTAGGGGTTGGTGTCAGTATCTTGAGGGTAGAAACATAAGATATACGTACATGTGTACGACGAGCATTCGGCACACCAAACCTGTGTGGGATTCCCAAACTCCAAATCCCAAGAAGTGGTATAGTACCCTCCTCTCTTTGTGTTTAAGGTCAGACACGCAGCAAAGAAGGGTAAAAGGCAAAAGGCATTTGACAAGTTTCATTTCGTGCGTTTAACATATCCCTTTTCGCTTTGCTAAACAACGCTTTTGAACCCCCCTGCGCCGCCGCCCCCCCCCCCCCCCCCCCCACCCCGCCCGCCCCCCCACCCCGCCCGCCCCACCCCGCCCGGCCCTCCACCACGCCCGCCCCCCCACCCCGCCTGCCCCCCCAAACAAAGAACAAAAAAACACTCCGCAGCATAACAAATACAAGCCAAAGCCCAAACAAAGCCAAGCTATGTGTTTCCAGGCTGGGCACGCTTTCAGGCAACAGACAACCAACCCGGCCAAGCCATGTCTTTTCATTGACATGACGTTGGAAAGGTGATTGCAGATGGGTGGGGCTCCCCACACCCCCCCCCCCCCCCGCCCCACGGCCACAAGCATCCTTACAACTCCAATTTCGCAAGGTGGTTGCAAATGAGGGGGCTCCAACGTCCAAAGTCCAGCGTTTTATCCACCCACACATCTCAAAGACACGCCTTCCCGAAAGCACATCCACTTCAAGGGTGCAAAAGCCCTATAGGTTGCCATGGCGGGACTCAGGGTAGGCCACAGACGCAGCACTCGCCAGCAAAACAGAAGACACTGGGCAGCAAAAAAAAACCTTCAGCACAAAACATTTCCCTCAGCATACGAGGGGCGGGAAGGGCATAATACAAAGCACGGCGCAGCAGAAAAGAAAATTCCGGAAGGCAAACAGCATTTGAAAGACGGACGTGGCCAGCATAAGAAAACCGCTGTCCATGCCCCATCCTTAAACTTGTGCGGGCAAGGCCTCTCACTAATACATCCAGATTTCAGGTAAGTTTCAACATCCAGGACCCAATTTGTTTAAGGCTTCATACTGTAATGTGCAGTGCAGGACCCAAACTTAGACCTTAAAACCCTCCCCTAAAACCCTAAACCCTAAACCCCAAACCCCAAACCCCAAACCCCAAGCCCCAAACCCCAAACCCTAAACCCTAAACCCTAAACCCTAAACCCTAAACCCTAAACCCTAAACCCTAAACCCTAAACCCTAAACCCTAAACCCTAAACCCTAAACCCCTACCCCGGAACCTGGAAGGCCCGGGCTCCAAACTCCAGTTTGTTGCGGCACCGTGAGCCAATCCTAGACCCCTATAGGCGTTTGGGGTTTAGGGTTTGGGGTTTAGGGTTTAGGGTTTAGGGTTTAGGGTTTAGGGTTTAGGGTTTAGGCTCCAAAGCCCCTAAAGACCTTCGGCCCCCTGCCCCACTCCCCCCCCTAAGCCCCCTCAACCCAAAACTTGAACCCTCTGAACCCCCCAAAACTCTCTACCCTAGATCCTAAACCCTAAACCCTAAACTCTAAACCCTAAACCCTAAACCCTAAACCCTGAACCCTAAAGAAGCTAAGGCTGCGATGACGGGCACCAACGGAGCGAGCAAGGACCGCAGCCGATCGCCGAAGAAGGAGCTGAAGGTGCTGCGCTCGACACAAGGGGCCTTTTAGGGTTTAGGGTTTGGGGTTTAGGGTTTAGGATTTAGGGGGTTTAGGGTTTAGGGTTTAGGGTTTAGGGTTTAGGGTTTAGGGTTTAGGGTTTAGGGATAGGGTTTAGGGTTTAGGGTTTGTTTCTAGGCTTGTGTTAAGTGTACAGGTACCCTTCACTTTAACTTATTGTCAGGTTGGCTGAGAAGCGCCTGAAGCCCATGAAGGAGCGCCTGCTTTTTTCCTACATCACTACATCTTGTCTTCATGGCGTACTGTCAACCAGGCTCGTAGAAGTTTTGGTGCTGTCTCCGTGCCTACATGTCTTTCCTTCCTTGATGGTAGGGCTCGTAAACGGGTTAAGGTTTAGGGGGTATTTAGACTCAAGGTATTCACGTGTGTGGTCATTCATGCTGTTATGGTGCATCTCTAGTGTAATTAGGAGGGCTCAGGGAAATGGCGGATTGGGGTTTTAGGCTATGGCGACAATCAGGCCCCCTATTCCCTCAACCCTGAACTCTATATGTCCTAAACCCTTCACCCGTCGAAACCCTACAATCCTAAACCCTATAAATGTGCACCAAATTAGGGAATGCTTGGACCCGAAAGTACCTCTCTTTTAGGGACTCGAGGGCCCGAGTACATAATAATGAGGTACATGGACCCTTACAACACAAACAGTACCAACAACCATAAACCCTTCCCCCTAAACCCTAAACCCTAAACCCTAAACCCGATCCCCGAATGAAGCAAAAGCGGGGTCTGTGCGCCGCAGGTCGACCCGACCAAGCTCACAGAAGCCGACCTCGCGGATGGGCGACCTGGACGTTCAGGGCGTTCCCGGATTTAGGGGCTGTAACCCTAACCCTAAACCCAAAACCCTAAACCCAAAATCCAAAACCCTAAACCCTAAACCCTAAACCCTAAAGGCGCTCCAAGGGTCCATGTACCCTAAAAGCATTTGTGGGTTTGGGGTTTAGGGTTTAGGGGGTCAGGGTTTAGGGTTTAGGGTTCAGGGTTTAAGGTTCAGTTTTAGGGCACCGTGAGGGTCCATGTACCTCAATGTTACACACTTGCGCCCCAAAGTCAGTGCACAGGAAGTACTCTAAGGCCAAAGCACGTCCTGTTCATGCACATGCAAGGTACCCACAACAGGGCACTCGTTTCGCATGTACTGTATTCAAGAAGAAGGGAGCGGATTCTGTGGGAACCAGGTTTTCCGCCTCTGAGATCTTCGGCTCCAAGACGACCATGAGCAGCTTGGGCGCGTTCGCATTTGAACCTCCAAAGGCCCCAAATACGGAGGGTTGAACCGTGATTCCGGACCGAATTCTTCCTTCAGCCTTACGCCTGCGCCCTATCATCAGTTGCGGGGGTTTGGGGTTTGTCGTTCAGGAGTCGTTGCATCTTTCGCAGCTTTCCGCAATCTCCGATCTCGCACGCTAAGAGTTAGGCAACACTGAAAGCCCGAATCCCAAGCCCCAATCTCTGCACATTCCCAGAAAGCCTTGCAGAGCTTCACATAGGACCACATCTCTGGTTTAGAGTACAGGGCTCTTTGGCCCTGACCCAGAGACAGAACATGACGACCCTAACAGTCTTCCCTTAGAGTCCCTTTAAAAGATACTATAATAACCCCACAGCCCTGTTCTAATTACTCAGGCCCTTATATTACAAGCAGAGGTGGCTACACCTACGATGATCTCATCTGCCTCCCCGGGCACATCAATTTCGGCGTGCACGACGTGCTACTGGGTTCGCGCTTTACAAAGAAGACCCTCGGCTGGCATTGCTCCAGGTAGAACCGCGCCAAACACTCCACCCCGTGCCTGAACTCTAAAGCGTCATACACTTGCAAAGAAGAATACTTGAACAGCTTTATGGTTTCAAGGATCAGGGTTTAGGGCAGCTCAAACCTTAAACCGTCAACCCCCACAGAAGCTTGCTGCTGTGGTTGCTTTCTCCACGGTCACCATCCACTGCAAGCGATCCGGAGGTTTGCAGAAGGCTCTTCTTGCAGGTTCGTTCTGTGGAGGCGATCCGGCTTTCGGCTTATGTGACCCTGAGCCTTAAAAGCCCAACCCCCTCCCTAGTGGCCTAGCTTAAGCAACAAACCCTACGAGTTGCTGAAAAACCCCCCAAAAATAGAAATAGATTCTTCCTTATTAAGGGTAATATAGGGGTTGTTTTTCTTATTCTTCCTTATTAAGGGTAATATAGGGGTTGTTGTTGTTTTTTGTTTTTTAAATTCTTTTGGGGTTCTTGAGCGAAATGGTAGAACCTTGCCATCGTCCCAGGATCGCTCTCAAAACGCCCATCGTCTCCAGCCCAATGGACACTGTCACAGAGTCGAACATGGCCATCGCCATGGCCTTGGCTTCTTGGCGTTCCAGGGTTTAAGGGTTTAAGGGTTTCAAAATGCTAGGCAAGTTCGCGACCCGGGTCGGGGTCTCGGAACATGTTACATGTTCTCTTGTGGTTTAGGACAATCACCTAAAGGGTCCATGTACCAAATTATTACATACTTGGGCCCCAAAGTCCCTATACATAGCATGTACTTTAAGGCCCACGTGTTCCCTATTTAGGTACATGGACCCTCAGGGTCATATTAGGAATCTTTTTCAGAGGCACAAAAGCTCTCAGAATACCCCCCAAGGAGGGTGGCATTGGCGTCATCCACACCAATCTGCCTGTCGAGACGCAGGCCAGACAGAATGGCATTCAGGATGTCTCGGACTTCAGCCCTTCAACCCTAGAGCCCTGGAACAGCTACACACTTCATGGGTTTTAGGGTTTTAGGCTTTTAAGGGTTTTAGGGCGTTAGGGGTTTTTGGGATTTAGGGATGTTGTTTTCCGAATATGTCTGCGAATCGCACTTCGACCATCCCCACCTTGTTCTGCCTAGCCCCTTCGGACAGGAAACTAAGAGTCCTTCGCAGATCCTTTGGCGGTTGCTCTCCAGTGTTTGTTCCAAGTCGAAAGCACAAGCAAATCCCATGCATCTCAAGATTCGGGCATGCATCTGGAGCGGAAACTGCAGGGATTCTCGGTGCCATTCTCGGGGGAGGGGGGGGGGGGCATACTCGGCCGGGTACTTGGCTGGATTATACCCTAAACCCTATAAACCCTAAACCCTCAACCCCCCTAAACCCTAAACCCCAAACCCTAAACCCTGCCCCCCCTCCCCCTCCCCTCCCCCCCTTCCCTCCCCCCTCCCCGCCCCAAATTTCGTGGGGGTTTCCGTCCGACATTAGGGTTTTGGGTTCAGGGTTTGGGGTTTAGTGTTTAGGGTTTAGGGGTACCTTATTGGGGTCCTTGTTAAGGGAATCCTGCTATTTGGGAGGGGTCCCTCATTTTCGTAACTTGGTAGCCTATTGGTACCCTTTACTTACCCGTTTTTGTTTTTTTTTTTATGGGTTCTCTTATCAAATAACCAACCCGAAAAAGCGTGCCTTATTTTGATATGGTTACTGGGCACCAAGACTCCGTAAAATTTCAAGGCTTCCGCTTTATCTTGGTGGCTTATCCAGCTAACTGTACTATTTGCTATTCTGATCGTTGGCACCCAAACCTAGAAGCGGAGAACTGGGATCTACCAGCCACCCCCATCCCCCCCTCCCGGCCCCTCCAAGTGTCGAGGGTTTAGGGTTTACCCTAAACCCAAACCCCAGACCCTAAACCCTAAACCCTAAACCCTAAACCCGGGAAACAGGCTGCAGAGGTGGCCAGGGTCAAGAAGTACAAGGCTTGCGCTGCTGCCCTCTCTGTTGCTGTTGGTTTTCTTCCTTGCCCTGAGGTTCCATGTACCTAAATCGGGAATACTTGGGCCTTAAAGTAACTCCTAATTTAGGGACTTTAGGGCGAAAGTACATAATAATGAGTTACACGGACTCTTAGGGGTTAGAGGTTCGGATAGTGGAGGGGACGGGCTCCAAGCACTAGAGCGGAGCTGTAGTTAATGTTCCTAGGTTCCACTTGGAGGTTCAAGATATTTCTTAACCAGTTATGACTGTACTTATATCTGTACTTATAACCACATTCGGGCACTTAAGGGGCTTACAAATGGGTTATAAGCACAGTTACCCTAAGGGTCCATGTACCTAAATAAGGAGTACTTGGGGCTTAAAGTACCTCCTCTTTAAGGCCTTTAGGGCCCAAGTATCTAATAATTAGGTACATGGACCCTTAGGGTTATAATTGGTTAACAGGTACAAGGAACCTCCAAGCATGGTGTGCGGCTCCACGCTGTTGTCATGGGGGATGGCGCTGGGGGGTGGGGTTGAACCCACCGAGAGGTCCGTTGAACCTTAGCAACCCGACACCCTACATACTTATCCCTCAACCCTAAACCTTAAACTTACATCCCAGATCTCTTGAGTTCCCCCCTTTCAGGCTTTGTAGGTTGATGCAGAGTTGTTGTTCTGCTTTGGCCTAGGAACTGCATTTAGTTGAGTTTTGGGTGCAGTGTTTCAGGTTCGGGTTCAGGTTTCCGAGATGCGCCCGCTCGATTGAAGAGACTGAACCCACAAGTCACTGAGGGTGTACAGGGTTTATCGGGCTGATAGGGCTTAAGGTTTTTGGGGCTGGAAACCGTAAGCCCTAAACCCTTAACCCTAAACCCTAAACCCCAAACCCGAACAGGCCGGCTTCATTTTGGAGCCGCGCTGTGTCCCTCCCACGATGACCGTGGAGGAGCTGGACAAGCTCAAGAGCTGCCAGAATTGAGAGTTTAGGGTTTAGGGTTTAGGGTTTAGGGTTTAGGGTTTAGGGTTTAGGGTTTAGGCTTAGGTGTTCGGGTTGAGGGTAGTAGGTGTTCAGCGACGCAGAATATAGGTTTGTTGTTGAAGTTCGACAGTTCATGGAGTAAGCTATCAGCAGCCGCATGTTACTCAGGCCATGGGTTCTGCAAGGGTTTAGGGTTCAGGGTTTAGGATTTAGGGTTTAGGGTTCAGGGTTTAGGGTAGCCCTAAACCCCAAGCTGGGGTATTGGTATCTTGCAAGCTGTCTCGGGCGAGGTTCTGGGGACTCATCGTGTTCAGTGCCCGGTTTCTCTCAGCGGTCTCCAACCTCAGTAGAGTTCCGTCATCGAACGCTTGGAAGTCTTGCGTTGCGACCCGGCCACCGAAAGCCTAGAGACCCTGCATCTTCAACCTTAATGAATAAGCCCCTAAGCCCCCCAAAACCACTAAAAAAAGCTAAGCCCCTAATGCCCCTTCAACCCCCTAAACCCTCTGAAGCCCTAGAGTCCCCTAAGCCCTAAACCCTAAACCCTAAACCCCAAACCCCAAACCCCAAACCCTAAACCCCAAACCCCAAACCCCAAACCCTAAACCCTAAACCCTAAACCCTAAACCCCCGGAAGACGGACTGAAGGCACCGTTGGCTTCACGGGCTTCCCCGTCACGGAGAATGGGCAGATGGGAGCTAAGCTCCTGGGCCTTGCGGCTCATCTCACCTCAGAGGGTTTAGGGTTTAGGGTTTAGGGTTTAGGGTTTGGGGTTTGGGGTTTAGGGTTTAGGGTTTAGGGTTTAGGGTTTAGGGTTTAGGGTTTAGGTATCTTTTTGCCGGGGAGTATATATTCCTGTAAGTACTGTGGTCCCTGGTGGGTCGAAGTTTGCACCATAGATGGGGACATGGATCCTTTGAGATACTTGTCGTTGCTTTGGGAGTTGGAGTATTTCCTGCTCTATAGTTGAGCTCTAACCCCTAAACTCTCAACCCTGTACGAGAATGAAGGCCCAAGATCACAATGTAGATCACCCCCCCCCCCCCCCCCCCCCCTCATTTTGTCTTGTGTTGGGGGGGGGGGGGGGGGGGTTATAAGGAACCTCATGCTCTAGCTCCCGTTAGGGGGGGTTTAGGGTTTAGGGTTTAGGGTTTAGAGTTGTTCCTTTCTCGGCCTGCTAAGCACGAACAATGTACTCCATTTATTCCTGGTCACTTGGGAACCTTTGTCCCTTAAAGAGTGGCCCCACTCTAAGTTGCCTTAAGTCGAAGAAGGGTTCTTTGTATGAGTTACCAGCCGAACTGAATACACCTGACTATCCCCCTAAACTCTACACCCCAAACCCCAAACCCCAAACCCAGAAATACAGGGGTTACGGGGTTGAACTCCCTTGGTCGCTCCTGAGGGCGGCTGTGAGGATGCCGATTTAAACTTGGAAGGTTTTTGGCTGTAGGGTTTTGGGGTTAGTGTGTAGGGTTCAGTTCTTAAGTACTCCATGTCAGTGTCCATGTACCTGAATACAGTGTACTTTCAAGCCCAAGTAGTCCCTATTTATGTACATGGACCCTTAGAATACCCCCAGCCCGCAACCGAAACCCCAACACTGTCATCCAACCGAATCCCGTGTGACGTGCTTGCGCTAGCCTTGAAGCCCAAACCCTAAACCCCAAGCCCTATAAACCCTAAACCCTAAACCCTAAACCCTAAACCCTAAACCCAAAACACCTACACCTCCAAGCCTTGTTCCCGTTTCTGGGAAGTTGAGGGGGCGTAACACAGGGCGTCTATTGACCTCGAATGGTACCTTTTGGCGAGGCTATCTTCCGCTTATCTGTTATGTACTTGGTAGTACCCTAAACCCCTAAACCCTAAACCCTAAACCCTAAACCCGAAACCCTAAACCCTAAACCCTAAACCCTACACCCTTTCTTTTTGGTCCTCGGGTTCCCTCATAATATGGTTACTTGGCTACCAAGTAGAGGCGCGATGAGGGGATGATGCTGATCATTTCCTTTGGCTCCTGCAACTAAGCGTGTGCAGGGATATGTGGTTTCGGAGTTTGGGTTCAAGGTTTAGGGTTTAGGCTTTAGAGTTTAGGGTTTAGGGTTTAGGGTTTAGGGCTGTGGCAGACTTTCGGCGTTTGTGGGATCTCGTTTCCCGAGAAGTTCCCACAACCCTCACTGTCACAGTACGTATTTCCACCATCCGCAGTCTAAACCCCCAAACCCTAAACCTCAATTAAACCCGAAACCCCTCAACCCTAAACCCTAAACAACCAGATCAGGTGACGAAGCGAGACACCGATTTCGTCCAGGACGTGAATCCCATGACTGATCCTATGCCTGCGGTTCTGAATTCAAGCACTTTCTTTCCCCTTTGTTTCGGCGCATTGGAGTTTCTACTCCTAAACCCTAAACCCTAAACCCTAAACCCTAAACCCTAAACCCTAAACCCTAAACCCTAAACGCTAGGTCAGAAGATAGCGCGAGTGCGGCCAGGACCGCAAGACCCGCCTTAGCGAGATCATGACCCCAACAGCCAACTTGGCAGCTTGCCGCGTCTTGGGGTTTAGGGTTTAGGGTTTAGGGTTTAGGGTTTAGGGTTTAGGGTTTAGGGTTTAGGGTTTATAAGGGCCTTTAGGGGGGGGGGGGGTTGGGGTTTCGGGCTTAGGGTTTATAAGGGCCTTTAGGGTTTAGGACCTTCAGTAAGGCCTTTAGGGTTCAAGGGTCGGTTTTCGGGATGTCAACGGTTTGGAAGGGTAGATTCAGCAAGAAAGACCACCAGCACCGGCACATTTTGCAGGGGCGAACCCCTAAACCCTAAATCCTAAACCCTACACCCTAAACAGTGGCTGGGTCAGAGCTGCAGGGAGCTACCAACAATTGCCAAGAGCTGCACTTGTGCGTCTCGATGTGTTGTTGCGTTGTTGGCTCTACCCAATATCCTCAACTCGTATCCCAAAGCCTCAATCCTGAACCCTAAACTCTTACCAAACCAAAAGCTCCCAACATTATAACCCTTTGGCCCCGCAACCGTTTTCAATAGTTGGAGAACGGGTTAGACACTGTACTCACGGTCTGGGGGAGGGGGTTGACGGTTCATCACGACTGCTCAGTATCTGGTGTCATGGCGCAGCCACAACCCTAAACCCTACACCCTAAACCCTAAACTCTGAGTCACCTGCAGGTGACACTATTTGAAGGCTGCGACCTTTTAGAGGCGCAGGGTGGGTAGAACCCTAAACCCTAAACCCTTCCCTAAACCCTAAACCCCAAACCCTAAACCCATCTTGGGGTTGGGCAGCGTACAGGGTTGCACAGGAGCGTTCCGGGTGTGTTTGGTTGGACATGTAGGCGTTACCCTGTGTTTGTTTCAATGCTTTGAAGGGCCTCCGGGTTTCGGGAGGTATGCGTCCCTCCAGCGCTGTTCCTCTGACGCCCAAGCAAGCATGCAAAGTTTGGCTTAATTAAGCAGCCTTTTGTGGAAAGGCTCTCACCGTTTAGGTTTTAGGGTGAAGTCAGATCCCTAGCACAACAACTGAGGGCCTCACCTGCAGGATGGTCTTCGCATTGGCATTTACAGGATTGAGAGATGCAGTCAGCAATTCGAGACCCTATAAACCCAAGAGCAAGATGTAGCGTTTCTACACAAGTAGGAGTCGAAGAGCTCGAATGCGACTGTGGGAAGAGGTGTTTGAAGCTTTAAGCCCTAAACCCTAGCAAACCCTAAGCCCTGAACCTAGTACGATGAAGCACTGCAGGCGCTGGGGCGGATCCCACCGAACTTCAAGCCCGGGACAACCCGAGATCCCTCCACCACTGCCCCAAAAAAAGCAAACACTTAAACTCCACCCCACCCCCCTCGGCTCCAAGTAGCTGGGATGAAGGCCTCTTGTACACGGGTTAAGATATAGGGTTTAGGGTTTAGGGTTTATGGTTTAGGGTTTAGGGTTTAGGAGCCCTGAAACCCTAAACCTCAGCAACTGCCTGGATCTCCGGCGAGGCCAATGACGTGCTGCAGAAGTCAAAGAAAGGAAAGTCGCTGGGCAGCAACTATGTTAGGGTTTAGGGTTGAACCCTAAACCCTATATCCTAAACCCTAAATCCTAAACCCGAAACCCTAAACCCTAAACCCTAAACCCTGAACCTTGAGTGCCGGCTTAACCATCGACCTGGCGACTACCAGACTCTGGGGTGGGGACCAGAGCCTTTGCGGGGTTTTTTGGGTGTAAGCTTTTGGGGTGCAAAAGTCTTCCGGTTTAGGGTGTTGGGGTGTTGGGGTGTTTGGTGTTAGGGTGTTAGGGTGTCTGGGTTTAGGGTTTAGGGTTAGGGTGTTAGGGTTTAGTTTTCAAGCTTTCAGGGCTTTAGGGCTTCAGGGTATTTTAACCCTGGCCAAGTGCCTCCCTCCCTTGGGAATGAGGGAGGGGATCCCAGAAGCGCAGGCTGCCCATCGTGACAAGGGGTGGCCTGTTGGTGGCGCTTGTGGCGCGAATCTTGGCTTGCATGGGTTTCAGGGTAGGGGTTTTAGGGTTTTTTAGGGTTAAGGGGGTTAGGGTTTAGGGTACCTCGATATCTATACAGCAAGCACTTGGATGGCCCCCATGCACAAGGTTCCGCTACTTTCGGTACATGGGTTTTTAGCCCAGGGGCTACTCTATACCCTGAATGCGTTCTTGGTTTTCTTGGCTATCGCCCAAAAAACCCAAAACACCTAACACCATAGATTTCTCTCGGCAGCTCAATCCTGTGAAGATTTCCAGCTTTGACGCAGGAACTGACATCAAGAAGAACGTGGACTTCCCCAATGCCACGAAGCACCCGTTGAACAAGGAAGCCCTGAGCCCTAAACCCTAAACCCTAAACCCTAAACCCTAAACCCTAAACCCTAAACCCTAAACCCTAAACCCTATAAACCCTAGATCCACAAGACCAGAACTTTGACACTCGCCAGCCGATGTGACTTCATCAGGCTTGTAATTAATAAGGTTCATAAAGCCCTGGCTTCCAAACTCTGAACCTGTACACCTGAAAACCCTGCTTTCAACTTCGAATCCAAGCCCTAAACCCTAAACCCTAAACCCTTGAAGGCCCTTAAAGGCCCAAACTGGCGAGATGCACACAAAATCCGCTTCAAACGGCCCCAAAAGTTCTGTGGGCGGCCGACCCAGATCAGATTAGCTAGGTAGGCCCGTGGGATATTGCCTTTTTTGCGCAACCCAAAACCCTAAACCCTAGACCCGGAACCCTAGGTGTATAAGAGGATTATTATGAGGAACACTGCTCCAGAGGGTTTTCCGGGACATGCAAGCGTTCAAGGTGCAGAAAATATCGACAACAGGGTTTCGGGTGGAAGGTTCAGGGTTTTGGGTGTAGGGTTTAGGGTAATAATCCGAGTAAGAATATCACTCTTCATAGCAACACTCATCATAGCAATGCGAAAAAATACATAAATTGTAGTTGCAGGAGGAATCTGAATCTTGCTATGAGAAGAGTGTTCATGATCACAATCAATAGTCGTAGTATCTGCCTGGCTTATGTTGTACTCATTCTGAGGCACCCTTTCGGGAAGCCCTGCATAACAAGGGCCATGACCAAAAAAAGGGTTTAGGGTCTAGGATTCAACGGCACAAATCGACATGCGCAATTGCGCTGGATGGTCCCCGCAGCATCTGTTTAGGGTGCAGGGTATAGATGGGTATGGAGTTGAGGGATACCCTAACATTAAACCCCCAAAGCCTCAACCCTATTGATACCATACCCTAAACCCTAAAGTCCTTTAGCAGCTCAGGCTTGTTGTCTGCACAAACATCCAAAATGTCCGTTTTCATGGTTCATTAATCCTCTTAGCAGCCTAGGCTTGTTGTCTGCCCAAGCATCCAAAATGTCCGTTTTCATGGTTCATTAATCCTCTACCCTAAACAGCTAAACCCTTAACACCCTGTCTTTCTTTAAGTCAGAGTGATGCCTTGTGGCGCTGCCGAGTTTGAAAGAGTTGTCAAGAACAACAGTTTAATCTCGTAAACTGTAAATCCAAGAACCTACACCCCATCTGAGTAGTAGAGTAGATAACCTTTAACCTTTTCAGGGTCTAATACTCCCTATGTAATTCCCATGGTTATCCTTTTGTTTTCTGGGCTACTGGACAACTAAGAAATCCGTAAAATCAAAGAAGAACGACCTAACCCCTAAACCCTAAACCCATGTAAACCCTTACAAACTCTTTTAAACCGTATAAACCCCTTGACCCTCTTTGCAGGAGCTGCTGGTAGCGGCCGCGATTGGCACACGGCCTGCAGATCGCGATCGGGTGAAGGCTTACCCAGATATCTGGAACGTAAATGGCGGTTTAGGGTTTAGGGTTTAGGGTTTAGGGTTTAGGGTTTAGGGTTTAGGGTTTGGGGTTTCCGAAATTAGGGGGTACCTTATTGGGGTCCTTGTTACAAGGGGATCCTACTATTTGGGGTCTATTTTCGGGGTCCCCTACTTTTGGTAGAACCCAAATGGTGTTCTTCAGAGCACTTGCAACGCAGATAAAAAGTCCTTGAAGGTTTTAGTGTTGGGAACCCCCAGACCTTCGAACTGCGCTCCGTGAACCATCCGACACCAAAGAGCACACGACATCGACACGAAGCCGCCTGGCCCTGAACCCTACCCTTCAGGGTCTTGCGACCTTAAACCCTAAACCCTACACCCTAAACCCTGAACCCTAAACCCTGAACCCTAGACCCTAAACGCTAAATTGCTAGGGTTTAAAAACCGCTATCAAGCTCTAAGGGCGGTTATGTGGGTCCCTAACCGCCTGTATAGGGTTCTGAAGTGTGGGCCTCTAGCTTGAAGAGGGTATCTAAGGGGTATATAAGGGGGGGTTCAGGGTTTAGGGTTTAGGGTTTAGGGCTTAAGGCTTAGGGCTTAGGGCTTAGGCTTTAGGGTTTAGGGTTTAGGGTTTAGGGTTTAGGGTTTAGGGTTTAGGGCCCCCTGTTTAGGGCCTGTAGTAAGGGACCATGTAGCTACCCTAAGATACTTCATCCCCTTGGGAATTATGTGTCACTTTCGTTCATATAAAACCCAAGAGGATAAAACAACAATCAGGTTCTAAGGGGAGTATAGGATTATAAGGGGTTTGGGGTTTAGGGTTTAGGGTTTAGGGTTTAGGGCCCATAGTAAGGCGCCATGTAGCTGCCCTAAGAGAAGGCTGATGGACTGAGGGTTCGGAGTTACCCAAGACTCGGCATTGACCCTGTCGAAGCTATGCTTATGACGCACCCAACTTTCCACTCCAAAGCACCCGAAACCCTAAACCCTAAGCCCTAAGCCCTAAACGCTAAACCCCTCACCCCTCCTTCGGTTCAGCAGCCACATCCAAGCCACGGAGTCTGGGTGGGCCCCTTGGGGATCTGTCATATGGGTAGGCCCTTGTTCCCATTTTTTGAGGGTTTAGGGTCCCTAAACCCTAAACCCTAAACCCTAAACCCTAAACCCCTTGTAAACCAAAATAAGCCCCCTTTTGGGGATCTGTCATATCTGCCCTATTTGGGTCCCCTGAGGATCACATCTAGGAGTTCTTTTTTTTGAAGGGTTTTCAGGCTTCTAGGAGTTGATCCATCTACATGGCCCTAAACCCAAAATCCTCCGGTTTAGGGTTTAGGGTTTAGGGTTTAGGGTTTAGGGTTTAGGGTTTAGGGTTTAGGGTTTAGGGGTTAGAGTTCAAACCCTAAATCCCAGGAACCTTCCACACTGCATCTGCATGCCACAGGCTCTGGTCGCCGCCGGCGTGGATGCTGTGGTCATCGACAGCAGCCAGGGAGACAGCGTGCCACTTGGGCGCCCCAGAAACTGACCAAAAACTCCTAGTCCCCTCCCACTAATATTCAGCCCCCCTACCCCTCAGTATTGAATACTCAATTACCATAAGGGTCGATGTACCTCATTATTATATACTTGGGCCTCAAAATCCCTATATAACAAGCACTCTAAGGCCCAAGTATTCCCTATGTAGAATGCGGACCCTTAGGGTTATATGCTGCTGTATAACCCACGGACCTTTGGGCTCCAAGCATACAAATCATACCTACATTGGGGTCTAAAGTCTGTAAATAATCCCTACGTTGGGCTATTTGGAGCCTTAGGGTTCTTCCAGCGCCCCTTAGTCCACTTGCGGTTAGGATCAGAATTAAGCAAGCAAAAAGTACCCTAAACCTTGGGATGTTCCCCCTTATATTAACAGTCCTATTTAGGGATTATGGTCCCCCCTATCCTGTTCCCCTTTAAGGAAGGGGGAGCATCCCAACCTGGACCTAAACCCCAGTTCCGAATTTCTCCTGTTCCTGGAAAGCCTTGTAGACTGCGAACCTCGAACATGCACTGCTGAAGCGCCAAAGGCCCAACACCCAACACCCTGCAGAGGGTTTCGGGGTTTATGGGTTTGGGGTTTAGGGGTTTAGGGTTCCAGGCGATTTGGGCACCCTAAACCCTAAACCCCAAAACCCCAAAACCCCAAAACCCTAAACCCTTAACCCTTAACCCTTAACCCTAAACCCTAGGTTAGTGTAGGGTGTTGGGTTTTGGGGGCGTTGTGGCAGCCTGGGCCAGAGGTTTCAGCATGAGATGGTCAAGTGGATCAAGTCGAACTTTCCCGACTTGCAGGCCTTTTTGTGTTTGCTGTTGTTTTTTGTCTGGAGGGAGGAGGGAGGGGGGGGGGTCAGGGTGTAGGGTTTGGGGTTAGGGTTTAGGGTTTAGGGTTTAGGGTTTGGGGTTTGGGGTTTGGGGTTTGGGGTTTAGGGTTTAGGGCGGGGTTTTGTGGTTAGGGATTTTGGGGTTCAAGGTTTAGGGTTTTGGGGTTAAGGGTGTAGGCCTAGTTCAGGGTTTGATCGTGATTCTGGTCTTGCTTCAGGTGCAGACCCGCACAGCAAATGGTTTAGGGTTTCTTAAACACTCAAACCCTCAGACACTAGGAGGGATCTCGAAGACTTCTGCCCTAAACCCTAAACTCGAAGCCTTAAACATGATTGAGAGCTTCAGGAACTAGACAGTGCAGGTTTTGGGTTTTGGGTTTTGGGTTCAGGGTTCAGGGTTCAGGGTTTAGGGTTCAGGGTTTAGGGTTCAGGGTTTAGGGTTTAGAGTTTGTGTGTGTGTGTGTGTTTCAGTTTGTTCTATCCATGAGGGCCTTTCGTTTAAGGGGTTCCGAGAACTGAAAAGTTCAGATCTGCATTGTAATTGATTACTTGAAATAAGTACCCGGGTGCCCAAAAGCAAAGTTGCCCAACGGTCCGCCATGCCAGAATCTAACCGATGCGATATCACAGCTGCTTGGTCCGTCTTGCTTTCGCAGCATCAGCAGATGGTTCGATTCGGAAGTCGAACCAAGGATGCTCTGCACAAGATCGACCTGGTATGTTTAGTGCCCTCATATCGCCCATGTCAGACTACAGGCTAGGCGATCCTTGGGATGTTCTACTTTCGTTTGGGGTTAGTCGCGTTTTGGGGTCTAGGGATGTCTAGGATTATAAGGATTCTAAGTTAGAGGTCGTGGCGGGCAACGTCGTCACAAAGAAGCAGGCCAAGAATCTCATTGAGCATCTCGGCTCTTGTTGTGAAGTGCAGTAAGGTGTTCAGGAACCCTAAGCCCCTTCCTAAACCTTCAACTGAAGCCTAAACCCTAAACCCTGAACCCTGAACCTGGAACCCTGAACCCTGAACCGGAATCCCCGAAATGTAGGCAGGGTTTGCGAGCTTCAGGGGCTTGTTTGTGTGCGGTTGTTGTTTCCACCATCTTGGACTACGTGAGGAAAGTCATGAAGCAGGATGTCGGTTTTGGGTTTATACGACAATGAGAGCGGCTGAGGGCTAAGGGACGAACTCCTACAAAGTCAATGTAGTTCCTACGTTCTGGGCTAGCTTGATGTCATGAGAGTCGCCCTGCATGAAGTACGAGGAAAAACACCCAAGGTAAACCCTAACCCTAATGTTAGGCTCAGAGTACCTAGCCCAAAAACCTTATGTAACAAGGCCTTTGTGTCCAAAAACTCTAGAAAAAGGAGTCCTTGGAGCCAGAAGGTGAATAATCCTCCAAGGTAACCCTAAGGGTCCATGTACCAAATTGTTATATAGTTCGGCCCCAAAGTCCTTCTACAGGAAGTACTTTAAGGCCCAAGTCTTCACTATGTAGGTACATGGACCCTAAACTCGAAACCCTAAACCCTAAACCCTAAACCCCTAAGCTTCTAAACCCCTAACCCCTAAACCCCTAAACCCTAAACCCTAAACCCCTAAAATCGAGACCCTAAGGGTAAAGCCTGAACTCTAGGTGCGGCGCAGATGCTCTGCGTGTAGGCATGGGGATCGGCTCCATCTGCACCACTCAGGCCTGCCCACGGTAAACTTTAAAGAGTTGGTTTAGGGTTTAGGGTTTAGGTGTAGGGTTCCCATACCCCAAAAGGTATACTAAAGGGAATCCCAGGTCTAATCATTCCTTAGACCATTACCGTAAGACCTGGGAAGGGTGTGTGGGGGGGGGGGGTTCAGAATTTTGTTGCGCAGGGGTTCAAGGTGTTTAGTGTTTGTAGGTTGCGACCCTTATATAGGTGTTGCAAGGGTTTCTGGGTTTGTAGGTTGCTTGGGATTGTTCAGGGGTTTTTGTGTTTAGGGTTTAGGGTTTAGGGTTTAGGGTTTAGGGTTTAGGGTTTAGGGTTTAGGGTTTTGTTCAAGTTACATAGGGTTCAAGAGGCTGCTGGGATTGGGATCGTGGCTTGCAAGGCTCTCCATCAGTCACGAACCCTAAACCCTAAACCCGAAACCCAGCCGCCCGGGGCGAGGAAGTTTGCGCCTGCGGCCGGGCACAGGCGTCTGCAGTGTACAACGCGACCGGGCTTGCATCTACGGTTATACTATTAGTGCGTTAGGGTTTAGGGTTTAGGGTTTGGGGTTTGGGGTTTGGGGTTTAGGGCTTAAGTTTAGGATTTGGGGTTTGGGGTCCAGAGCTGTTTGGCCCAAAGATGAGGGGCCCTGTTTATAAAGTTTTCAATAGCAGATGCGCAATGCTAAGGCGCTGAATTGAGAACTTGCTTGTGGTTTTCGTCGTGGCGTTTCAGGGTGCCGTGGATTTTGGATTCTTAGGCTTAGGGATTTGGCCGTAAGCAAAAGGCGCTACACATTCCAAGAGGGCACGTCAGTGGAATCTTAGATAAGGTGTTAGCGTTTACCTGAAGAACCCAAAGCCTACTTGTTGTAGGCTCCTATAGGGCTAGACTCCAAATCTCAAGCCTGCATCAGCGCTTGAAACCCTAAACCCTAAACCTTAAACCCTAAACCCTAAACCCTGAACCGCACAGAGGTGGCCAAGCTGGCGCGACAGTACGGAGTACCAATCCTGGCGGATGGCGGCATCTCCAGCCCAGGTGCGTCGACATTTGAGATAGTTTATAGGGTTTAAGGTGTTGGGTTCAGGGTTTAGGGTTTAGGGTTTCGGGTTTATAGGATTTAGGGTTTGTGCTTTGCTTGGTAGCCCAATGGTACCCTTTTCCCTGTTTTGGGTTCAAGGTTCCCTTATACAGTAACCAACCCAAAAAGGTGCCCTTATTGTAGTATAGTTAGTTACTGGGCTACAAAGGGTGCGTTGATACTTGAGATCGCTTAGAGGGTTTAGGGTTTAAGGTGTCGGGTTTGGGGTTCAGGGTTTAGGTTTTATAGGGTGTAGGGTCTGGGGTTTAAGGTGTTGCGTTTCGGGTCTAATTAGGGTTTAGGGTTTAGGTTTAGGTTTTAGGGTTTAGGGTGTAAGATGAGGGTCTGTAGAGTGCTAAGGTAGTGGACCCCCAGAGTATGCAAACAACAAAAGTCCAAAACCCATGAGAGGGTTTTCCTGTAAACCCTATATCCGTAAGCCCTAAACCTTGAAACCCTCAATCTTCAAGCCTCTAAGCCCTAAATCTTTAGACCCTGCATCCCTGCACCTCTAAACCCTAAACCCCAAGGGATTGGTTTAGGGTTTAGGGTGGTAAGGTTTGGGGTTTGGGATTTGGGGTTTGGGGTTTGGGGTTTGGGGTGTGCGGCTTAGGCGAATGCAACCTCCCCTTTTTTCTAGACTAAAGGTTTTATTAGGGTTAAAGGTTTAGGGTGTAGGGTTGAGGGTTTAGGGGTCATTGTAATCCACCATAGCATATTGCGCGTTTCACACAGAGCAAGTTCAACAATAACCATTAGCACTACAATTCAAATCAAATTAGGGTCGGAGGAGGCCCTAAACCCTAAACCCCAAGCCCTAAACCCCAAGCCCTAAGCCCTCAACCCTATAAACCCTAAACCCTGAACCCTAAGCCCTATAAACCCCAAACCCCAAACCCCAAACCCCAAACCCCAAACCCCAAACCCCAAACCCCAAACCCCAAACCCCAAACCCCAAACCCTAAACCCTAAACCCTAAACCCTAAACCCTAAACCCTAAACCCTAAACCCGAACGCAGGCCACATCGTCAAGGCGCTGAGCTTAGGGGCCGGTGCTGCGATGTGCGGCCTCTTGGTGGATCGAAGGGGGGAGGGACGGGGGTCGTAGCCCTAAACCCTAAACCCTAAACCCTAAACCCTAAACCCTAAGCGGTGTGGGGCCAAGGTGCGGACAGCCATCCCCAAGCTTCACAGGATTTTGAAATCTCAAAGTTCCCTGAACCCTGAACCCTAAACCCTAAACCCTAGACCTTAAACCCCAAACCCTAAACCCTAAACCCTAAACCCGAAGCCGAAACCCTAACCCTAAACGGGGCGGTTGGGGTTTCGGTTTTCCGTTCAGGGTGGAAGGTGGGAGCTGTAGGGAACCTCACGATACGCAAGTCCGGTCTTCGCCCCTCAGCCTTGTCTTAACAAAGGAATATGGGTTTACGATATGTTGATACCTTGTTGGGTTCAGGGTTTAGGGTTTAGGGTTTAGGGTTCAGGGTTCAGGGTTTAGGGTTTAGGGCTACTTATTGGGGTCCTCATTATAAGGGGATCCTACTATTTGGGGGGTCTGTGTTAGGGGTCCTTATTTTCGTAAACCCCCATACAATCACTATACTCCCTCCTACGCCCAGGGGTAAGGGTTTAGGGTTTCTTTGGGCGGGTGGGTGTTTTGCCAGCGCTTGACAAGCTGCTTGACGAGTGAATGTTTGGACTTGAGATGGTGAACCCTAAGCCCGAAACCCTAAGCCTAAACCCCAAACCCTAAACCCTAAGCTCTAAACCCTAAAAACCCTAAAAACCCTAACAACCCTAAAAACCCCCAAAACCCTAAAAACCCTAAACACCCGAAGAAACCAACAAAAACAAAAAACAACAAAAAAACCTAAACACCCTAAAAGCCCTAAACCCTAAACCCAAGCCCAAAACCCTCAACCCTGAACATCAGCCCAGGCAGCTTGCTGGCCGGCACCTCGGAGACGCCCGGTGAGCGCTTCGGAGGCATTGCACAGCTTCCCTGGCCCTAGGCATTTAGGGTTTAGGGTTTAGGGTTTGGGGTTTGGGGTTTAGGGTTTAGGGCTTGGGGTTTAGGATTTTAGGTTTTGGGTTTTAGGTTTTGGGTTTTAGGTTTTGGGTTTGGGGTTTTGGGGTTTGGGGTCTAGGGTTTGGGGTGTAGGGTTTGGGGTTCAGGGTTTAGGGTTCAAGGTTTGGGGTTCAGGGTTCAGGGGCTCGGGCGTTCGGGGGTTCAGGAGCTCAGTGTTTGATTGATTTTGACAGATGGGGTGTCGTTGAGTGGTTGAGGGGTTGTGGGGTTGAGGGGCTGAGGGGCTGAGGGGAAGCCTTAACCGTCAACCCATTGGGTTTCTTGTTAGTGTTTTTAGTGTTTTTAGGGTTTAGGGCTTAGGGTTCAGGATAAACCCTAAACCCTAAACCCAAAACCCTAAACCCTAAACCCTAAAACTTGGGTATTCTGAGGTACTTCTACTCCGAGGACGGCAAGCGACTCAAGCGCTACCGCGGGATGGGTTCCATCGATGCCATGTGGCCTTGGCTGGCTTCAGTCGATGCTGTCTAAGATGCCCAGTAGGGTTTAGGGTTTAGGGTTTAGGGTTTAGGGTTATAGTGGTTGGTGGTCCCTTTAAGCAGGGTTTCTGTTTTGTAGGGGGTTCTTATTAGGGTATCTAGGGGCTAAATTAAGGTATAAGGGCAGCAGATAAAGAAACCACCGGCCTTTATAAAGGATGCCCAGTAGTTAGTACTCTTATTCATTTTTTGGAGGGTGTAGGTTCCCTTATAATCCCCGCTAGTCAACAAGAGGCCCTAAACGCTAAACCCTATGCCCTTCTTTTATCTTTGACTACTGAGCAACCTAAGTTGCGGGCTCAACCCCGTCACTGAACTCTTTCAGATTTGTTGGAGTCAGGGGTCTAGGTTTCCAGGGTGTGAGGTTTTCGGGGTTTAGGGTTAAGGGTTTAGGGTTTAGGGTTTGGGGGGCCTTATCCTGGAGCCTTCCCGAGCAGACTGAAGGAAGAAGGGCAGCGACGACCGCTACTTTGGCACGGCCGCGGTGATCAAAGTTGCACAGGGCGTCTCCGGCACGGTGCAGGACAGCCCTAAACCCTAAACCCTAGCCCTAAACCCAAAAACTCAAGGTTTAGGGACCCGAGTCTAGTTTTAGGGTTTTAGGGTTTAGGGTTTAGGGTTTTAGGGTTTTAGGGTTTTAGGGTTTTAGGGTTTTAGGGTTTTAGGGTTTTAGGGTTTCAGGGTTTCAGGGTTTCAGGGTTTCAGGGTTTCAGGGTTTCAGGGTTTCAGGGTTTCAGGGTTTTAGGGTTTTAGGGTTTTAGGGTTTTAGGGACCCTGAACCGTAAGCCCGGACCCCCACCCAGCAGCGTTTGAGTCTTTAGGTTCGAGGGCTTTAGGGTTTAGGGTTTAGGGTTTAGGGTTTAGGGTTTAGGGCAACATCACCTCCACGGACATCCCATATACTTCGTGTAGGGCGTAGATGCGAGGTTTAATCTTCGGGTAGTGAATACGGTGCCTTTCCTTCTTTCAAGGTATGGGCCCTTGGGTTTTCTAGGGTACATAAGGGGTCTATATATACGGGTTCGCCAGTTATCCTATTGAGGGATCATGCAACTACCTCAGAAATATTCGACATACCCCTTGGGTTTACCCTTAAAAGAACTTAAGGGGTATGGTAGTATCCTCCCTTGGACTCTCTTATAACTTGTTTCCTTTTATCGGTTAAGGGGTATGGATTTAGGGTTTAGGGTTTAGGGTTTAGGGTTTAGGGTTCAGGGTTCAGGGTTTAGTGTTTAGGGTTTAGGGTTCGTTCGTCACTACCCGAAGAGGTCAGAAATCTTGAGAGATGGAAGGCTAGAAGGGACCTGAGAGCGCTGCTGAGTCTAGGGCTTAGCGTTTCGGGTTCAGGGTTTAGGGTTTAGGGTTTAGGGTTTAGGGTTTAGGGTTTAGGGTTTAGGGTTTAGGGTTTAGGGTTTAGGGTTTAGGGTTTAGGGTTTAGGGAGTTTAGGGTTTGGGGAGTTTAGGGTTTAGGGTCTAGGGTCTAGGGTTTGGGGACCTTAGGGTTTAGGAGGTTTAAGGGGTCTGCGGGTTTGCAGGGTTGAGCGTTTGGGGCGCGCCTGAAGCTCCCGACACCTGCTTTGACGCATCCACCTTAAAGTGCATAATGCCTTTTAGGGTTTAGGGTTTAGGGTTTAGGGTTTAGGGTTTAGGGTTTAGGTTTTCGGGTTTAGAGATTGGGGTTTAGGGTTGCCTTCATTCCTGCAAGGCTTTTCAAGACAATTGCTTACACTAAATTGGAGATTTTCGGCGAGTTTCTTGCGGTAGGCAGACTATGGGAGTTTCCGAAAAATGGGGGTACTTTTTTTTTTTGGCGGGGGGGGGGGGGGGGGGGGTAGGGGCCCTTGAAGGGATTCTATGCTATTTGGGGTTTGAAAAGGGGTGCCCGAATTTTGGGAAATGCCCATACCTGGCCTGGCCCATCTCGATGAAGAAGATCTCACGCGAGGACAAGGGCAGCATCCACAAGTACATTCCGTACCTCACGCCGCCCGGAGTATGCTCAGGCAACCCCCAAAACCCTAAATCCTAAATCTGAACCCTAAACCCTAAACCCGAAACCCGAAACCCGAAACCCGAAACCTTGGAGTGACACCCTGGATGGTCTCCGGACGAAGCATCCGAAGCCAACCCCGAGGGCCAGAGGGTTTAGGGTACCATCCCCAAGGGTCCATGTACCTCGTTATCATAAACTTGGGCCCCAAAGTCCCTATATAGGAGGTACTTTAAGGCCCAAGTATATAATAATCAGGGTTTAGGTTTAGGGTTTAGGGTTTAGGGTTTAGGGGTACAAGTATAGAATAATCAGGTACATGGACCCTTAGGGTATGATTTCAGAGGGTAGGGGCGTTTCTGTTCTTCTTGCCGACAGAGTGGCCCTAAACCCTAAACCCTAAACCCTAGACCCTAAACCCTAAACCTCTCAAAATTTGAAACCTTACCAAGGCTAAATCCCTTGAACCCCAAACCTACTCTCCAGCCCTTGAACCCCTTAAACTTCTCAAGCCCTAAATGGGGGGGGGGGGGGGTTTACGCAAAGGAGGGACCCCCAATATAGACCTCCAAATAATAGGATTCCCCAAAAGAAAGGACCCCAATAAGGTAAAGCCCCTAAACCCCAAACCCAATAAGGTACCCCCTATTCTCGTAAACCTCTAAATACCTGAGCACCTCGAAGCCTCGAAGGCTGCTAAGTCCTGCGCGAAGGCGAGGCCCTCGCCCCCCCCAAAAAAAACCCTAGGATTTAGGGTGAAGCCTTCAAACCCTAAGCGGTTTAGGGTTTAGGGTTTAGGGATTTGGGTTAGGGTTGAGGGTTTAGGGTTTAGGGTTTGTACTCGTCTTGTTCGCTGAGGCAGGGGCTGAAGCACGGAATGCAGGACATCGGCGCACAGAGCGTTGACCAGCTGCAGTCGATGCTGCAGGCGCCAAAAGGGTTTAGGGTTTAAGTTTAGGGGATTTAGGGGTTTTAGGGTTTGAGGTTTAGGGGTTCGGGTTTAGGTTTTCGGGTTGGGGGGAGGGGTTCAAGATTTTGGGATTCTTTTTTCACTTACTGGTAGGGAAAGGGGGAATGAAGAACCCTACAAATTCATTTAAGGGGCGATATGAGTCACTACATTCCCTGCTAAGAATCTTCCCTTTCTGAAGTGGGCTCTGGAAGGTCGACAGCAGCGACGTTTCTCAAAGTCATATTGAGGAGCTATACTTGAAGGCCTAGAATCTGTAAATTGAGTTAATTACTAATTACCCTAAGGGGGTCCATGTACCTCATTGTAATATATATATATATATATGGTTGTTAAGGTCCCTGTTGAGCATGTGCTTTAAGGCCCAACTCTTCCCTGTCTAGGTACATGGACCCTTAGGGTCATTTTTGGCCACTGAAAACCCTCAACCCCAACCCTAAACCCTAAACCCTAAACCAGAAACCAGAAACCCTAAACCCTAAACCCTAAACCCTAAACCCTAAACCCTAAACCCTAAACCCTAAAACCGCAGGAGGGACAGCTTCGATTCGAGCTCAGATCCGCCGCGGCACAGCGCGAGGGCGGTGTCCACGGTCCCTGGGGCAACGGTTGTGTTGGCATTTTTTCTGGGTTTAGGGTTTAGGGTTTAGGGTTTAGGGTTTAGGGTTTAGGGTTTAGGGTGTAGGGTGTAGGGTTAGGGTTTAGGGTTTAGGGTTTAGGGTGCAGATTCACAGGCCTGGCCTTAACCTTCCTCATTTTTTCAGGAGACCTCATTAATTATACTTGGGCCCCAGACGCACGGTGCAGCAAGCATTTAAGGCCGAATTGTCTGCCCAATTCAGGCGACCCAAAGGCTACTACCGTGAAACCCTAAACCCCTCTAAACCCCTAAATGCCTTCATAGTTCAAAAGGAACTGAGCCCTTAAACCCGAAACCCTCAGTAGCCTCGGGTCCCCCCCCCCCCCCCACACCCCGGCGCCTCACGAGTTTAGCTCAAAGGCGTGGGCAGTTGGCTGCTTTCATAGGGTTTGGGGTTATGGTTTGCTACACCCTCAACCCTTTAGTTAGAGAGAGAGAGCCACCACCGCACCACCCCCGCCCCCCCTCCCACCTCCCACGTGCGGAGGGCCCATTGCCCCACCCCCCCACCCCCCTCCAATCCAATTGAAAGCTGCACTGTTTATGATCTATTGAGGGTCGAACATGAAAGAATGTCGAGAGGTTCTTAGGCCTTTCAGGGCTGTTGATTTGGGGTTAAGGCTTAAGGGGTTAAGGGTTAGGGGTGTTCGGGTTTTGGGTGTTTCCTTTGTCAAGGCCTCCACAGCTTCGAGCGCAAACTCTTCGACAGCTGAGAGTTCTTCCAGGCGCGCCACTGCATGAGCCTTTGAAGACCAGTGCTTTGGCGCTCTCCTGTTTTTGGATTTAGAGGGGCGCGTGAGCAGCTAGCAGCTAGACCAGCCCAAACCCAACTTGAACCCTTGGCAGCCCTAAACCGAACTTCTGCCGAAGTTGGCATCATGAGCAGCATCACTGGAATGCTATCATGGCATTGGAAGCCGCCTCAGAGCTGAGAACCAAGGATGGGCTTTGGGGTTCAATTCGGGTTTAGGGTTTAGGGTTTGGGGTTTGGGGTTTAGGCTTCTTAGGCTTCTTCCCCACCCCTTTTCGTCGGTGCCTTCTTCTGAGACTCTTCAGGGCCTCCCAGCTTCGGGGGCCGGGGTTTCTATGGCATATCCTGACTTTGGGCTACTTGGACCCAGGGGGTTAGGATGCCATAACAATGAAACCCGAAACCTAGCCCTAAACCCTAAACACCCTAAACCCTGGAACCTCAAACCCTAACCCTAAACCCCATGAAATAGCCCGCTGCTGACACGCTGTCCACTTTTGTCATCCTCTTGGAAGACCTGCTGCCAGACTCTTCCAGCGCAGCGGTCGTCGATTTCATGTGCGTTCATTTCCTGAACTCCATGCATTCTTAGAGCTTCGGCCTTACGCATTCGCACCCGTAGGGTCGCAGATCCTCTGCGCCCAAGAACCCGATGGCCTGGATATTGGTGTTTAGGGTTTAGGGTTTAGGGTTTAGGGTTTAGGGTTTAGGGTTTAGGGATATTCGCCTACGGCATGGTGGATGTTCAGGAGTAGAGAAAGCCCACGATTTCCGTTTCAAATTAGAGAGTTTCACTTGCCGACATGGTGCCCGGACGCCGGATCTTCACTGTCTGATGGCAGCAGGATTTAGGGGTTGAGGGTTTAGGATTAAGGCCCAACCCGAACCTCCCGCAAACCCTAATTAAGAGTCCAAGGATATTCTCACTATTCTTCATGATTATTACTATATAGGATAAGGTGGATATTGCTATATTTGGTGAGTGTAGATATGGTTCCTCATACATGTTGGTGAGTGTATTTATAGGGTAGCATTGGGGATACTAGCAATGCAAAGCCCTACCTCATGTGGGGGTTTTGGTATTCGGCGTAAAGGGTTTAGACCTTCGGCTTTAGTGTGTATGGGGACTAGGAAAAACTTTCCACCCTTGAAAACGAACCTCAAGCGTCGACGTACCTAAACAGGGGAATGCTTGGGTTTTTTAAGTACTTGCTAGAACTTACTATATAGGGACGAGGTACATGGACGCTTAGGGGAAGTTTTGACCGACATACCCTTTAACAGAACCCTAAGCATGTAGAGGCAACCGACGTATCCGTAGAGAAAGTTGCCTTAACTATCATGCATGGGCTACTCTAGGTGGCTTCCTGGGTGCTTGTCTTTCCTTTTTGGAAGCTCATGAATACCCAGACTTCCCAATTGCGGTCGGGGAAAGGGTACCTAGTTCTATGGCGGAACAAACTCGTGGGAATAACGTAGGTAATTCGACTAACTTCTTAAACCCTGTGTAAGCCCTAGAATCCAGAAAATTAGCTCCCAAAATTTCCATTCTTAAATCCTGTACTAGAATGCAGACAATCACTCCCTGCACCCTAAACCCTGCGGTTTAGGGTTTAGGGTTAAGCTCTAGAAACCAGAGGTTGCCTCCCCTAACCCCAAATGGCCAAGTAAGCCCTAGAATCCAGACATAGCCCTAAACCCTAAACCCTAAACCCTAAACACTACAGTTGGGAATTAGGTATCTGCGCAGTGTCGCTCTGGAGGAGTGGCTGTGCCTACCCTGGAGTGCCCCAAAGCCGCCCCGCGGTGGAGGGTGTAAGGGTTTAGGGTTTAGGGTTCAGGGTTCAGGGTTCAGGGTTCAAGGTTCAGGGTTTAGGGTTTATGCTTTTAGGCTTTTAGGGGTTTCGGGTTTTTGAAGCTTTCCACGGCCCCAGACAGAGTGTCGGGTGCGTGGCTTTTGTTGTTGGTAGGCAGGGCTTGGGGTTGAGGGTTTAGGGTTTGGGGTGTAGGGTTTAAGGGGTGGCGTTTGGGATGCTCCAACGTAGAGTTTTAGATAAAAAGCCCAAACATGCATACAAGTATGCATATGCAATATACTACACATATGCATATGCATGTACAACGTATGTGTGGTGTGTGTTTACCAGGACGTGGTTTCCACAAGTCAACTCTTTTGAGGGCGCGCTCGGGCCCTTTTTTGGGGGGGCTTTGGGGCACTCAGGGGGTAGTCGTTTGACTCGCCCGCGACAGCAAAAAAAGCAGCGTGGGCTTGGAGGACTCCTTGTTTAGGGCTCCGTTTTAGGGTTCAGGGTTCAGAGTTTAGGGTTTAGGGTTTTAGGTTTTAGGTTTCAGGGTTTTAGGGTTTAGGGTTTAGGGTTTTAGGATCTTTTCGGTACCTTACGTGTGCAGAGAGGAGGTGGCGTAGTATAGCAGGGACACAAACTTCAAAGAAGTAGAATCGTAGTATAGTAATACAGCAGTAGTGTAATATAGTACTAGAAAATTATAGCAATACCCTAAGAGTCCATGTACCTAAATTGGGAATACTTGGGCCTTAAAATACTTGCCATGTAGGGACTTTTGGGCCCAAGTATATAATCATGAGGTACATGGACCACTAAACCCTAAACCCTAAACCTTAGGGCAATAGACCAGTAAAGGGGAAGGAGGGACTGTTCGATGGGGCTTCAGACGCGCAAGGCCGAAACCCCAAACCACTGCAAAGCCCTAAACCCTAAACCCTAAACCCCAAGCCTCTGAATCCTAAAGCCCTGAATCCTGAACCCTAAACCCTCAACCCCAAGCCTCTGAATCCTAAAACCCGAAGCCGCAAGCCCAAGACCCAAAATCTCAAGACAAAAGCTAATCGCTTGCTGGGTATCTCTGATCAGCCTTTGAACCCTGGCGTGGGGTTTAGGGTTTAGGGTTTAGGGTTTAGGGTTTAGGGTTTAGGGTTTGGGGTTTGGGGTTTAGGGTTTAGGGTTTAGGGTTTAGAGTTTAGGGGTCTAAGAGGTTTGGGTTCAGGGTCTAGGGCGTAGGGTCTTCTTTCTATGTTTTATGCATGTTCTATCGGGCCTTGGCCCTGCAAGCACGTGTAGCCTCTGAAGCCTCGCTGCGCTAGTGTGAAGTAGAGAGCTTAGGGTTTAGCGTTTAGGGTTTAGGGTTTAGGGTTTAGGGTATGCCCAGTAGTACCCTTATTCCCTTTTGGGTAGGTTTAGGTTCCCTTATAAACCCCTTTAAGCCAAAAAGGGCACCCTTTTTCATTTTGCAAGCGCCCTTGTTTGTCTCATTCGTTAAACTCTGAGGCCAATGACGCCAGAACTTTACTTCTGGAAGTCCAGAAGCTTTTGTCTCGTCTCCGCTGAGCCAATCCGGCTCCCTCTCATGACATGACCGCTCTTTGAGATCTGTGGCACCCTTTTTAAGCCTGGGTTACTGGGCAACCTAGTATAGATTGTTTAAGGGGTTGGCATGCTATTTTCATCAAGGCTACGACTATTACCATTCTGACTAAAGTTGCCATTATTGTTGTTATTGTGAGTACTACGATTGCCAGTAGTTCTATTGGTACCACTGTATCTGCTGCTACTTACCATGCTTACTTCTTGCTATTAAGACTTATTACAACCACTACTGTTACTCGTATTACAAGTTCAAGTTCCATTACTCTTATTGCCACTGGCATCATGATTTCTCTTGTCGCTGCTATGAAAATTCTTGCTTGCATGGTATGCTTGCATCTACCTTTATAAAAAAAGCTGCAATTCTACATGGTCAGTTCTCAAAAAGATGACCCCTTTTCGGGTACCCTGTTTTTTTTTTTTTTTTTGGGGGGGGGGGGTCGGGGCGGCCTTATAACAGTAACCCCAAAAGGGGCCCTATTTTCGAGAAGTGACCAAAAGGAAATCGTCGAGCCACGCAGGTAGCCACCACGTCCTCTGACCGCACGGCGAGGCGCATCCAGCTTCTTCGAGCCCTAAACCCTAAACCCTAAACCCTAAACCCTAAACCCTAAACCCTAAACCCTAAACCCTAAACCCTAAACCCTAAACCCTAAACCCTAAACCCTACGTTTTGTAGGCTCTTATTCTAAATAAAAACCATCCATCGGCATCCTTAGGTAACCTACCAAGAATAAGGGGCGTTTTGGGCTCTTAAGATAGCGCCAAGCTCCCGAGTTGATAAAAACAGACCCCTTTGGGGGCATAGCCTTGGTTCTCATTTCTCCGGGAGAGCCACACTTGCTAGCCCATGTAACCATAGCGTAAAGAAAGGGCACCCGGTTTTGGGCTTGAGGGTGTAGGGTATAGGGTTTAGGGTTTCGGGTTTAGGGTTTAGGGTACCACTACCACTCCTGGGCTACCAAGAACAGCGCGCGGTATGTTTAAAGATTCTCAGCTGTTTAGGGTTCAGGGTTTCGGGCTTCTGGCAGTAGGCCATGTGGGGTTACAGCGTGGTTTGTCGCTGTCCTTTCTAGCTGCCACACGAAACCCTTGTAAGCCCTAAAGCCAGGCTTTAGGGGTTTACAGGTTTTTAGGGTAGAGTTTGTGTTCCCTAAACCCTAAACCCTAAACCAGAAACCCTAAACCCTAAACCCTAAACCCTAAACCCTAAACCCTAAACAGAGTTTGTGTTTGAAGGTTGGGAACCCTAGACCTGAAACCCAAAAACCCAAGCCCTGAGCAGGATCTGGGACCTGAAGACCGGGCAGTGTGAGAAGCGGCTCGGAGCAACTTTAGATGTCAGATGGACCAGGCTAGGGTTTTGGGATTAGGGTTTAGAGTTTAGGGATTGGGGTTTAGGGTTTAGGGTTCAGGGTTTAGGGTTTTGGGATCTTGTTTGTTACCCAAAATACCCCTGATCCCAAGCTGATCCCAAGCTTTTAAACCCTAAACCCCAAACCCTAAACCCTCACGACCCCTAAACCCCCTAAACCCTTGAACCCCTACAACCCCTAAACTG